ACAGTGTGAGACTCCAACTCAAAAAAAAAAAAAAAAAAAAAGATGCGACTCTTCTGTAAGACTTAAAATAATGCTTCAGTATCGAACCACCCCTGTTCAAATCCTCACAAATGGTCATTTTTAGTTTGAATCAGGATCCACCTAAGTCTTCAAACCACAGCTGGCCAGCGGCCCCTCCACCTCTTTTATTTCCCTTTACGGGAGTCCTCCTGCAGAGTGTTCCCTCTGGGCTGTGCTGACTGTATCCCAGATGTAACTGCCCTGCTCCTCTGTCCTGTACTTCCTGGAAACTGCAATTCCAGCTAGAGACTCTATTCGGCTAATCTGGGGAAAAGTGGAGCCTGAAATCTGCTTGTTTCCTTTTCTGACATTCATAGCTGTGAATGCTGTGTGTCGATCCGTAAATCGTTGCAAAATGGGAATACTGTGATTCCTTCAGGACCTAACTACAACTCTACCACTTAAAAAAACTTACTTGTTACGCATGGGTTGGTTCACAGAAGAATGGCTGGATAAATGCTCTTTTCCTTTCCTTGACTTAACAATTTTCAAACTTATAACGCAGGATTTTTAAATAATCTGAATGGTCGCTGTTGGAGGATGTTGATGGGAACATGCTAGACTCTGCAGGCATACTGATAATTCAACCTGAGAATGTCACTGTCCTCACTGATATTCACACTGTCCATCACTCAGAGTTACCATGAATCTCTGCAAGGTAGCAGGCAATTAGAATAACAGACATGGGATATACAAGTTACCACAGATTAGCTTGGAATACTGGACTCCTTGTTCCTGGACCTGTCTGTGACCTTCTCTTGGCTTCTCACAGCTCCTGGGGACCAGCCAGCTCTATCCCCTTCTCCCCTCTTCCCATCCAAGAACGTCAACTGGTGGGAGGAATGGGATCACAGGATGGCACTAAAACATTAATATCCACCGAGAAAGGAAATGCCGAAATGTAGACTGATTCTGTCTGAGAGGCCACGATCCTGGATCCTGCCTCTATCAAGCGCCCAGGTGCTGCCACCACTGACCAGGAGCATGGGATAGAGGCTCCCGGACTCACTGCTGAGCTCCAACTCCAGTCACCTGTCTTCCCAAGGATAACTGTCAGCTGTCCCATCACTGTGCACACGTGACACAGAAAAAGCTGAAGATTCTATTTTCCATGGCGATGTGTAGGAACAAGCACCAGATTATACCAGGGGCTTGGGCTTTCCTCTCTAAAAATAGCTCTGGTCTGCAGGCCTCTGAGCCCATATACCGTGACAGGGTACCTGTTTCTGATTATGGTGACAGTGGCAGCTCCTGACCCACTGGATATTATGTGCATCATGTCCCTCAGCCTGTGTGGCCTTACACCGGCCTAGGGAGGCAGGTGGGCTGGTATCAGCTGTACTTCCCAGATGAGCAAGGGAGAGTCAGTGTTGTTCAGGACTTGTGGGCCAGGCTGTTGGTGACAGGCGGGGCCTGGCACACAACACTCAACAGTGTCCCACTCACTGCCCTGGATGCTGACTCTGAGGCCGCTGCTACCAAGCCACAGGAACCAGGCCTTGCAGCTGGTAAAGCTGGCTCAAACCACTTCACAGTGACCATTCCCAAGGGCACCACAGTGGGGAGGAGCTGTCTCCTATATGTGGTCTTGTGGCGCTGGTGCAGCAGGGCTGGGTGGGTTTACCAAGATAGGCCAGTCCAGCGGCAGGACTCCCAACGGTCTCCCCTGAGAAGTCAGAGTTGGATGGGTGCTGCCTGTCCCTGAGAATTTGTGTCCCCTACAATGGAAGCACCTGTGGACAGGCAGGTGGGTCCTGATCCCCTGCATGATACCCAGGATATGTTTCCAGCATTTTTATTTTTTAGAGACAGGATCTCACTTTGCTGCCCAGGCTGGAGTGCAGTGGTATGATCATAGGTCCAACTCCAGGGCTCACGTGATCCTTCTCCCTCAGTCTCCCAAGTAGCTGGGACTACAAGTGCATGCCACCATGCCCCACTGATGGTTTACTTTTGTAGAGACGGGGTCTCTCTATTACTCAGGCTGGTCTTGAATCCTAGTCTCAAGCAATCCTCCCACCTTAGCCTCCAAAAGTGCTGGAACTACAGAAGTATGCCATCATGCCCAAGTAATTATTTTTTGTATAGATGGGGGTCTCACTATGCTGCTCAGGCTGGTCTTGAACTCCTAGCCTCAAGGGATTCTCCTACCTGGCATGGCCTGTTATAAGCACTTTCAATTCAGAGTTTAGACTTAACCTTTGCATTTTAGAAAACTTTTGTTTTATTCCTAGGTTCTTCATCAAAACTTTATATTAAAAATATAAATTAAGTCCCATACAAAGTTTATGTGAACTATTTACCTCTCTCAGAGACATTTTCAACAGCAGACATGTCAACATTTATCACGCTGTGCCAGCATTTATCACTTGTTGTGTGCCAGTACATGCGAGTCCCAGGTATTGTCTGTCAGATCGCTGTCCCGATGGCTGTGTTGGGTTCTTACAGGAAAAGCAAGTCACTAGCTGTTGCCTGGATTCCTCCCACTTCTGGCCCAGGCAGCAAAATGATTTCAGCTCTTTGGTAGGTTTCCACTGAAAACACTGGATGTTGCCACTGCGCCAGCTTATACCACCATCGCTTCTTCTCCTTCATCTCTGTCTCCTCCTCCCAGCAGGTGTAGGCTGTCATCCTCTAAAGTGTCTGCATCTTCCTCACTTCCCAGCGGCTCCAAGTGACGCTTCATATCCCGCTGCTTAGAAACTGCCAGCGCGTACTGCATGTTATAGCGGTTCCAGTTACAGCTGTACAACACATGGGATCAGGTCAGTGCCTGCAACAGCTGTTCTCTGTTCCACCTGAGAACCTGGCCAACCTATACTCTGTAACCCTGAGAAAAGTCAGTGTGGTCTGCACATGCTCCTTTCTACACCCTGCTAGCCACTAGCTTCCTCCTCCCTTCCTGCCCTGGCAATCTGGCTTCTGCCTCACCAGGCCTCGAGGCATAACAGCCCTCAGGTGCCCAACTGTCAAAGCCCACCGCTCTGGTTCATCCTGCCAGCCCAGCCCTCCATTGGGCCTGACCCAGACGGCTTCACCAAAAAGTTGCACCAACATTTAGGAGAGGACCGCTGCAGAGCTAGAGCTATACTTGGCTTCAGAGAGCAGAGGGAAGTGTGCTTCGAATTGGCTCATTCTCCATTTACAAATGGAATAAAGGGGAGGAGCCACACCATCATAATAAAGAAGAACCTGGAGGCAGAGGGACAGAAGGGAATAAAGCAGGCCCCACTGTGCCTGCAGGAGATGGGATGATCTGTTCAGGGACTACCCACAATCACCATACAACAAAGCCAGCTGCCTCCCTACAGCTCAGCAACTCATCACAGATGAGGAAGTCCAGGGAGACATGCAATTACTTGAATCCCCAAACCATCAAGTAACGGGATCAATCTCACAGAGCTAAACAGCTCTCCTACAGAGGTCTGTGCAGATTCTGGGACGTCTTGGCTGAGGGAGCCTCGGTACTCTCTCTCGAGCCCCAGCCCTCCTACAGGACAGCCAGAATGCTCAGGGAGGAAGGGTTCACGCAAGACTCTGGGACTGGTAAAGACTTAGGGACCAGTGCAAGGACAGATAGGAGGACCATGGGGATCCCATAAGTCGAGACCCTGGACAGAACACATGAACAGGGCCAAGACCAGGTCTTTCAGGAGTGCAGGCGGGACACCTGGCAACTGATGGTTGACAGAGGAAGGAAAGACATTCCTCCAAAGGCCACCGTGAGGTATAGACAGTCTGGGCTCCACTGGCCCTTAAGGGAGGGACAACTTGCTGGGGGCAGAAGGTACACAAACCACAAAAAAAGAACTGGAGAAGAAGAGGAGGAGGGGCACCCTTGCAGAGGACTTTAGGAATATTCTCATATTATCAGCCCATTTTTCTGCTAGAGAAAGCAAGGCTCAGAGCAGACACACCCTCAGAAATTCAGGCTGCATAATACTGTAAGAAAGGGATTCGTAGTAGCAGCATACTGCTAGGGTGGAGGAAATAGGGACACATAATTTCAAAAGGGTACCTGATCTCAAACCAGACAAAGTGAAGACCAAAGGGAGGCCCAAACTTTATCTGCATGATGTCCACTTGTATACCTAATCCTGAATTGTACCCCACATCTTTCAAAAAAAAGACAAAAAAAAAAAAAGAAATCTAGGCTGCTGGGTACTGAAGTCCCATGACCAGCCTGCACTGCTTGTGTAGGTAACACACAGATCTAGGCAAGAATGCCTAGTCCTAAGAGTGTGACAAATGCCTACCCAAAAGTTTGGAGCATTTAGCTGAATCTGGGACACGCCCACCTCCAGCCTGTCTACCTGTTGCAAGTGCTCATGACTTCTGAGACACACCTACCTACAGCCTGTCTACCTGCTGCAAGTGGTCATGACATCTTTCCTTTTCGCACCAGGCTCCACCCAGCACATGTGGGGGTGGCTAAGCGGATTTAGCTCACCATGGCAGGTGAGAGGATGAGCACCTCCAACACTGGCACCTTTGTCCTCAAATCAGTCAACACAAGAATCACTACCAGCAACGACCCAGTGATAACAGTCCACCCCCTGTCCTGCCACAACCGGGCCCACCGCACATACAGTTTAGACACGTCGTCCAAGTGCCTCTGGAGGTTCTTCTGCAGGAACTGAACCACAGGCAGCAGTGTCCCCACTCTGAAAGGAGATGCCCCTGAGTGTGTGGTGGCCACAGGAAGGTCATACATGGTCTCACCTCATGCCGTATTTGTATATAAAGGATCTCTTCTTATCTGCCAAGACCAGCTGATCAGGTGACAGAGTACCACCCTTACCTGGCCTTCAGCTTCTGTCCATGCAACATGAGCAGCTTCTGAGTCCAGATGAGGTAGAACTCCAGGTGGCGGGACACTTCCAAGGAGGAAGCTACAAACTCAAGCACCTTCTCCACATACAGCTCAGGAAGGGAGGAGCTGACAACTCCAACTGTCAAAAAGGAGAAACACGCTTATTCTGCAAAGCACTCAAGAGGAGGAAGTGGGAGGGGAAGGGCACCCCGACCTGCCAATGCTCACTCTCATCCCTGGGCACTGACTCCAGGGCCTCCTGCACCAGCTTGCTCTCATTCAGCCGCAAGGCCATGAGGATGGCTCTGGTGAAGTCCTGCTGGCGTAGCGCCTCACGCACCTGCCCAGGGGTCACGCTGGTGTCCAGTTCAAATGGGTCAAAGAGCACGCGTGTATCCAGGGAGTAGATGAGGAGGCCCTCTGTAGTGGTGGCCGCCCAGCAGCGGCCTGGGAAATAAAGCAGTAGTTTCCTAAAAATTTAATTTTTAGTTTTTCTTTTTTTTAAGAAAATGTACTGAACACATTCCTGTGGTCCAAAATGCAGAAACAGGGAATGTGGGACAGTTTCTTCTACCTCTGCCACGTCTCACAGAAGAAACCAACTGGACTGTCCTACAGATTTTGTCCCAGAGCTGTCTGATGCCCAAGGGAGCAGACATCTCTGTCAGAACCACAAGAAGGTGCTTAGGGAGCGACCACACCAAAGGCGGTGCCAGTCTGGCCGTGTGTTGAAGCTCAATGTGTGTGAAGGTGGCACCATCATAGCCATCATCCTTGGGGACAAAGGGAATATGTAGTCAGCAGGGTTCTTGGTGCCATGCTCTTATCCAGGGGGACAGCATGGCCCAGACCCTGCCAGTAGCTCTGTGCCAACCTCACCTGGGAGCAGATGCCCCAGAACAAACCAGGACCAACTGCCCATGGCTTGGTGCTCACCAGTGGGAGAGAAGCGGAGTGATGTCACCCTGATCTCAGGTTTAAAGTGCCGAGAACTCATGTCACCTGGGAAAAAGAACCAATTGCAGTTACTGGGCAGCACATCCAGGCGGCTCACCCAACCGAGGCAGGCCGCCCTGTGGTCCTCCCAGCCAGCTGGGGTTGCCCTGGGGGCCTCATAAAGAGCAGCAGCCTCTGTCTGGCAGGCCCTGCACCAAGACGAGGCAGGAAGCAGCTCTTTGACTGAGAGCAGCTGCAGCAGATGAGCCCAGCACTGTGCTCCAGGAGGTGTGGGCCTGGTCAGCAGTTAATGCATCTGACCTGGGAGACGGCCTTGCCCAACCCAGGGGGGGGTCTGCTTCACCCAACAAGGTGCCCTGGGCCTGCACACAAAGAGGTGTCTGGGTGACTGGTGGACATCCCATCAGGGTGCTCTAAAGGAAACCAGGTAGTTCCTGAGTATTCTAGAACATCTGGCTTTCTACCCTGTCTCTGAGGCACATGCACCTCATCGTATCACCAGAAAGCTCCTTGTACTCGAGGGACACTTAGCTCCCATAAGTGAACAGGGAGGCTGTGTATAGCAACTCATGGAAGCTGTTACCACTGAGGAGGCTGAAGACATGGGCACTGACCCACCAGGTCTCCTCCAGACACCCCCAGCACTCAGCAGATGTCACAAGACAGTGACAGTTACTTCACACACCACACCCCCAACCAAGGGACTAAGACTGCTGTCACCCAGGAAAAGCAGCAGGGGCAGATATGGGAGGGTACCCCTGCTTACCTTTCTTGACACCTGGTAATGGTATTGCAACCCCATCTTCCTGCCCGGCATCTTGATCAATTAGTGCCAGGTTGCCAAACTCTGTCATTTTTCTTCGGTTCAAAAATTCCTAAACAGCAAAAGCCACAGTACCTCACCATCCTCTCTCTCCCTCACTCATGTGGCACAAACAGGACGAGCCCCAGTCCCTCCTGGAACTACGACAGGACACACAGACACTGAGAACACAAGGAGAGACCACTGGGGATATTCACAGAATCTTCCTGCAGAGCCTGTGGCAGATGGGGCTGGTGGAGCAGGGGCACAGCAGCCCCCTTGGACTGGAGCTGTCATTCACAGCAGGGATGTCCACCTGGCAGCCAGAGTGGCTGATCCCTCAGGAAAACACCAAGGATACTGAGGAACCTTGGTCTGTGATGGAGCCTGAGCAGGTGAACCCAGGCTGCCACATACCTCTCAGAGGCCTTCCTGGGCTCCCTTTCCTACTCCAAGGCTTGTGGGAGCCAGAGCATTAGAGGGGCCTGTGCCAAGGGCTACAGCGAGTGGGGAAGACAGGGGCCACCGGGACAGTGGGGGCAGAGCCAGCTGCGCAGGATTCAGGACAGCACAGTACAGGCAGGAAGCCACCCCTGGGCAGGGCCCACCAGCAACCCCTGGGCTCACTCATTACCTTAAAGGTCTCAAGTGTCTACCCTGAGCAGGTCAGTGTAAGCTGGGTACCCCACTCACTATCCCAGAGTGGGGTCTTTCATCTGATAGTGAGGAAGGTGCCAGGCTCCATTGGCCCTGGCTCTGTAGGGTAGCCCAAGGCAACAGTACTTCTTACAGGACAAACTCAAAACCTGCCCGGGGCCCTGTGGAGCCAGGAGTGCTGAGTTAGGAGCCTGACGCATTGAACCTGCCCCGGGAGTGGTGCCACCAGCTTACCTCCATGGCATCCAGAGACAGGTTGCATGAAATCTCAAATTTCTTCATAAGAATCTGCTCCTTGACATGATAAATGCACACAAACTTGGACATGCCTCCTGCCAGGATGCTCTGGCCATCCGCAGAGTAGCACAGAGTGGTGAAGGCCCTGGAGGAGATATGAACTTACAGTGGCCACTGAGGTACCTTCAGCACATAGATGTGTTATAGTACAGCTCAGGAACCCCAAAAGATCTGACACCTGCACTCTAGAAGGTGTATGCTGCCTCCCCGACTTCCCCAAGGCTCCTTGCCTAAGCCTATGCAAAGGACTCTCCATATCATGGTGCCCAATGATGCTGTCACACAGTTTCGTGCTGAGATGGCTCCGCCCCCTCAGATGCCTTGGCTTCCTGAGAGACAGCGTCCTTTCCACTAAAGGACCAAGTGTCTTGAGGAAGGGCGTTCCTGCTGAAGTCAGTACAAACTGTGGGCAGTTTGCCTCCAGCCCTTTGCAGCCTATTCTCAGTTGTGCCTACTCAGTCCTGCAGAGTCCAAACCAGACCCTACCACCTGTGCTCAAGACGCATGACAGTGGGCTTGGGGCAGGCAACAGTTTTCTTAGATACCACACCAAAAGAACAGCAACAGGAAAAAGTGAACAAATGGCACATCCCTAGAACCAACACTTCTGAGTCGAGGAGCGCCATCAAAAGTGTGAAGACAGCTCACCAAAGGAAATATTTGCAAATCAACTATCTGAAAAGGATCTCATATCCTGAATGTACAAAGAACTTCAAAAACCAACAAAAATACCAAACAACCCAATTCAAAAATGGGTAAAGATGGGAACAGACATTTCTTCAAAGAGGATATTTGACCAATAAGCAGATAAATGCTCAATGTCAACAAGGAAAATTTTGTTTCAGAGATAGGCTGGAGTGCAGTGGTGTGACCATAGCTCACTACAGTCTCAAACTACTGGCCTCAAGTGATCCTCTCGCCTCAGCCTTCCAAAGCGCTGGGATTACAGGCATGAGCCATTATGCCTGGTCTCAAAATTACAATCAAAACCACAATAAGACACCAATGATATGCACCAGAATGGCTCTAGTTAAAAAATAAAGTAAGTGCTGGCGAGGATGTAGAGCAACTGGAAGCTCTGTGAACCATTGGTGAGAACACCAAATGGTACCCTGCTGTAGAAAACAGTGTAGTGGGCCCTCAAAGAGTTACACACAGAACTAGCACAAGACCCCAGATGGTTCCTTCCCAGCTATGCCTATGAAGACTGAAAACATGTGTTCCTACAAAAACCTGCAAGAGGGTTCAATGTTTCCTTCTAGAGGAAAGCCCCCTCCACCTCCCTCATCTCCCTCTACACCCCCACTGTGAACAGGCGTCTCACTCCTGGGGGACAGGCCTAGACCCCAAGGCCATATCCGCCCTGACATGCCCCTGCAGGTCCTATTCTTCCCCACCCCTCTGCCCAGCCAGGGCTCAGGGCAGGCAGTTCCGTCAGCAATCTCTGTGACAAGAGAACTGTCCCCACTGGCATGTGAGGAAACTGTGGAGCTGAGTTCAATCCTATGAAGGTCAAGGGTGCCAAGGGCTTACAACAACCCTGGTGGTATTGAGGTTTGGAACTGGATTTCACTTTTCAACTGAATGAGTTATGGTCAGTAAATCCAACGACCTCCTGTGCTGGGGAAGTGGGAGAATGGATGTTAGATGAGATGCAGCCTCCCTTCTGAGGGGCTCAGGACCCCCTGCCTTCACCCATAGGGACTCAGTGACTTCAAGCATGGAGGACGAAGCCATAAGAGAAGAGGCTGTAAGCACCCAACTGCTGGCTGGGTCTCAGGTCAGGGAAAGGGTCCTGAGCTGCCAATGCCCAGCTGTGCCCACTGTACCAACTCACAGCTGCCACTTACTTCCCTTTGGCTGAGTGTTTGGCTGTGATCTTGTCCAGCTCCTTCCTGCCTATCTTGAGGTCATGCCTGCCTTCAATGGAGCCCGTCTGCACGGCGTTCTCAGGGTCCCAGAAGGTGATCTGTGAGTTCAGCATGGCCACAGCCAGCTCTGCACCGTCAGGGCGAAAAGTCACAGCCAGAGCTAATAGGGATGCAAAGTAAGGTCCAAGAAGAAGAGTTGGGCTCCAGGAGACAGGCTGCCGACCATCACCTTGGCTAGAGCCAGCCTGTGCCCTGGCACCCCAAGAGACCAGCATCCCATCAGGCCCCAGGCACATAAGTGAAGGGCACTGCATAGTCTAGGCAGGGCTACAGGACCAGCACCAAGGCTGACAGGGATGAGTCATGATGATGGTCACCAAGAGGAACAATTGGACAGACTAGAACACAGAGCCCTGCAGAGATGCAGGATGCAATGCTGGGAGCTGGGACAGCAAAAAGCAGGGAATGTGCTTCCTGGGGCAGCAGTTCCCAAGGGCCAGATAGCAGCTAAATAAGAGCGCAGGAGCCCATGGCTTTCCCAGGAAAATGATCACAAAGCCAGACGGTGGGCTGAGGATGGGTCTGTCTATCTCCTGACCAGCCGCAGGGCAACGCAGTGCTGGAAGCCCAGCCTCAGGAAAGGAGAAGGGCGGCTGGGCCACCTACGACCACCTTGTCCTTCTCCGTGTTGCAGCCTAAGTAGAGCCCCCCTTGGGACAATGACTACACTCAAAAGCAACTCTAGGAAATGGGGAGGTGGCTATAGCCATGCACCCTTCTCCTCCGTGAAGCTACTTGCTCCCCACATGGCTCCTTCTCTGACGCAACAGGAGCCCAACTACTACTCCTCGATCAACTTCTCAGAGCTCCCAGTTTGCCACAAAGTAACACTGGACTGACCCCCACTGGTGATAGCTCCTAGGTACTGCCAACCTTGGTGTTGCTTTGCTTTGTTTAGAATCATTCTTCCTATTCGCAGGTTCATGCCAAACCCATAACTAGGAACATAGTGAAGGGGTGTGAGAAAAGAACAAAATGGGATGCTGGCACCTGACCCCCAGGTCCTGTCCCACTTGCCTCCCAGTGCTCACCATCAGAGGTTAGGGCCAGTGTCTCCTTGGTTCTCCAGCTGTCAAACATGTCCCATAGGCGCACGGTCTTGTCCCAGGAAGCACTGGCCAGGATGGACTTCATTGGGTTAAAACATAGACCGCTGATGGGCCCCTCATGGCCAGATAGAACCTACAGCAAAGCAAGGGTAAGGAGGGGACACAAGAGGGGCAGTGGTGTGGCTCCCTGGGCAGCTCCGGGTTGGACACTGGCGGGAGAACACTGGCAGGCAGAGGCTACAGCCTCAGGGCTCTGGATAAGCCACTGTTACTGTCTTGGTGAGTAGCGAGGGGGAAGGCCAGGCCAGAAACCTCAAAAGAGATTGCTCTTCCAGGGATCACCTCTACTCCCTGTGCTGCCAGCTAGTGTTGTCAACCCTGCACGGCACAGGTGGCCCTTCCCCAAACCTCAGTCCAGCCCTCTCCAGAGCACAACCCCAAGGGATGTGTAGGCTCTTACATCCAGGAGCCTGCCAGTCTGCATGGACCACACAAAGATCTCAAAGGAGTCCTGGGCCCCAGCAGACACGATCTCCCCGCTTGAGTCCACAGCCACGCAGGAGAACTGAGTGGGGCGTGGAGACGTGAAGGTGCGGAAGTTTCGGTACCTGCCAAGAGTTGAGGTTGGTATAGCGTGCCAGAGTCTCCTACCCTCACTCATGGGTGGACGCGCTGCAGCATCACCCCTGCCTCCATCTCACCCACAGGGAGCCTGTCTGAGCTGACACAGAGCAGAAACATCACCTGTGAAGGTCGAAAGCTCGCACGGTCCCATCCATGGATGAGGTCACGATGACATTGCCAGTGGCAGTAAAGGTCACACCGGTCACCCCACTCGAGTGCTCCATGAAAGTGACAAAGCAGAAGCCACTGAGGGTGTTCCACACCTTGACCTGCAACAGGAGCATGTGCAGGAGTGTGAGGTAAAGGCAGGAACTCTGTGTGACATGGCCCTGATCAAGATCCCTGCCCTGTACCCATGACCGCCCTGGCTCACCTGGCCTCACCCACAGGCTCAGGGACCATCTGCCCCTTGCCCTTCCCTCACCTCCAGATGAGGAATGACAGAGCAAGTGTGGGTGGGCTGTGGCAGGGGCGTAAGGCTGTAGGTGGCCCCAGGCAATACAGCAAGCATTAGGCCACCTTAGATGCCAGCTGCTGGCTTCACAGCCCACCCTTAGCCAAGCAGCCACCACCATGTAAGACACCATGTCAAAAATGGAGACACAGAGATCCCAAAATCCTCTCCATTCACATCCCGGCACATTGTTAAACATCTTGTTAGGAGCCCAGGAACAGTGTGAACTGCAAGTCCCAGGCTGAGCCCCATTCAGGGCCTGGACACAGTGGCATAGCCCACATACTGTTGCGTCTCAGAACCCCACCCAGCCCTGAGGCCAACAGGACTGGGAAAGCCTACCTTGCCATCATCCCCACCGGTCACAATGTACTGCCCATCAGGGGAGTAGGCCAGTGACACCATGCTGTTGAAGTGGCCCTGTTGCTTGAGCACGTAGGACTCGCTCTGCCACTCCCACACAAGCAGCTGGCCCAGGCCTGCAACACATGACAGGGGCTGGCACACCCATCAGGACACCCCAGTCAGCCCAGGGCCCAGCCCACCTTCCTTCATGGCAGAGGCCAAGACAGCCCAAGGACGGGTGGAACAGACTCCTGAGTGCAGGACCAGGGCTACCATCTGTCGTGTGGCTTTGCCCACCAGCTCTGGGCCCTGCTTGCACTGACACAGTGACCACCCATCACAACTGAGGCAGGTGCTCTGACCCCGTCCTGAGCAGGGAGTCCAAGGGCAGGGAGATGCCAGCCTGCCTGACGAAAGCCAGGGCAGGAAAAGCACCCTGGGCAGGTGGCTGGAGCACAGGCCCAGGTCTAGGACTGTGGGGCTCTAGGACAAGTGCGTGAGCACCTGCCACAGCGTGCCAGAGGCCCAGGTGTTCAATCAAGGAACCGCAAAACAGATTTGGGCTCAAACATCAGGCTCAGCCCAGGCAGGCTTCCTCAAGGAGGATTCTGTCTACACCTAGGCCAAAAGACAAACCTGAGCAGCCGAAGGCGATCCAGTCCCCAGAGCTATTGATGGCAACCGAAGTGATGCTCTGATTCGAGATGCTGCCAAGAGTGGAGGTCATGAGGGGGAGGCCAGCTGCCCAGTCAAGAACCCTAGTGCCCCCACCCCCATGCATCAGTCATCCCTCCCACTCATTAGACATCAACAATTCACTTCACTTAAAGCATCAGAGAAGACCCAGAGAGATGTTCACTGTTCAGAAACTAGAAGCTTCCAAATTTTATGAAACCAGTATTGTGATTCTCTCTGTGCTCCAAAGATGAAAATCAGAAGGGAAAAGGTGAGGACCAAAAAAAAAAAAAAAAAAAACCATGAACGTGGTCCACTTGAGACTGTCCCATGGGGCAGCAGCATGGTTCTCTCTAGTCCACCGACCAGCACGAGTGGCTGTGCAGGTCTATGGGCAGCAATCTGCTGGTCTGATCTTGGTCCCCAGGGGTCTCTGCAGTCCCCACTGCCAGGGCCAGACATGGTCAGCCCTCTACCTGCTCACCTGCTTCTGGACTGAGGCACTAGGGGGGAGTGAATAAATAAAACCCCTACCACAAGCAGAACTCACCTCAGGGAGTGGATAAGGTTGAACTCTGGGAGTTCGTGAAGATGAAAAGTTCCAGAAGCAAAACCAGTGACCAAGAGGTGAATCTTCTTGTGATATGCTGCAGCTGTCAGGTTGTTAAAGTCTCCTTCTTTATTGAAGAAGTATCTAAATTGACCAGGAGATGGAGACTTGTGGGAAGGAACAGAGCCAGGCTGGCCCCTCCCCCACCCCACCCAGGTCTGGGCTCTAGAACAGTCTGCAGTTCCATGTTGGGGAGCACCAACCATGCCTCCCCCTTCACTCCAGGCCCCACAGTCACTCTGCTCCATTTCCAACTCAGGACCCAAGAGAACCTCTCAGAGGGTCTCCACCCTCACCTGCTGATCCTAAGCCAGAAGCTAGTAGGGCATTTGGAGGGAGCAACACCCACGGGCAGGCAGGTGAGAGAAAGGATGAAGGCAGGGCAGGGTAGTCTATGCCATGGGAGAGGCAAAGCATGGCCGCAGGTGCATCCAGGGTCCAGCCAGATCCCATGGTTTCCTGCATCCTCCTCTAATGAACCTCTGGCCCCCACTGACAGACAAAGGTGACCCTGAGGACACCTCCACCTTTAAGTTCCACCTGAGCTTTCCATCCAGAGTCTTCCAGAGTCACAGCACAGCTACGCCCTGGTCCCTCCTTCCACCCTTCTGGAGCCCCATCCCTCTGGAGCAAGTGATGGGTGTGGGCCAAGGCAGAAGAGGCCCCTCCCTGAACACTGATAGCCCCAGAGAGCACTCCCCCTTCCTGGAACCTAGTTTCACCCACATGGGGCCAGTTTCCTTCTCCTCTTCCCCAGGGGACTCCTTCAGTTCCTGTTCACACCAGGCCTTCAGCTGGAACACTCCTGAGTCCCTGCAGGCACTGAGTACACCACCACCCTGCCCACCTTCCAGCCCAGTCTTCCCTGCCCAGTGCCCAGCTGACCCTCCCTACTCCCCAGCCCCAGGACCCCAAAACACCCTCATGGCAACATCTTCCAAACACCTATCAAGCCCCACACACCCCAAATCTAGTCTGCTGTGGCTGTCCTGGGCTCCCTCCCTGACATCTGGCTTTGTTAGAAAGCCAGGGTCCCTTCAGAGCCAGAAGCTCTTGGGAGCGCCTTTCCACCACCCAGGCCCATCCTGCTGCTGTCTGTCTCTGCATGGCCACTCTGTCACTTCAAGTCTTTTGTCTCCAACCGAGAAAGCCTCACTAGGGCCAGTGGGTGTTCTCAGATCCAAGTTCAGAGCACAGCACACAGTGGGTGCCAAATAATTGCAGAATAGAAGGGTCCAGGCTAAGACAACCACACAACAGAACATGTGATGCCATGGTCAGCCAGGTCATCTCTGATTACAACCAGCCTACCTCTGAGCCCCAGATGTCTGGCATCTGACCCTTGCATGGTTCCTAGTTAGGACAACAGAGGGAGTTTGTAAAAGGTCTCCACAGGGGGGACTGAAGCCCAGGGCTCATGGAGTCTAGTATATAGGATCAAGGTAGCATTTAGGGATATATTGCCTGGTAAAGCACCCAGAGCCTCTGCCAGCAGCTCCTGCGAGCAGGCTTGGAGCACCTGCTGAGGACTCACAGAGCCAGGCCTCTCCACCCACTCACACCCTGCTGCCAGCTTTCCCTGAATGATCCCCTCTCATGGCATCTCCTTCTGCCACCTTGGCCCCCACAGCTCTCACTGAGCATACCTCACACCCTCCATGAAGCCCAGGGAGTCTCATCCACACCAAGCACTACAGGCTTTCATGGGCCACAAGTATCCCCCTGGGGCACATGCTGCCCTGTCTCCATGCCTGAGTGTCCCGACCCCTCCCTTCCCTACCCTTTGCCCTGCCCTGAGCACAGACAGATAGCTAAGCGGCAGCAGCAGGTCCCCTGGGTAAGGAGGCAGGGTTAACACCTAAGCACTCAGGTGTTCTTGAACCTGGGTCCAGACATGGGCCTGTTCTCTGCACCTCTGGGGACCCTACATTCATATCCCCCTGAGGGAAGGAGAACCCCAGGAGTTCCCTCTGAGACCTACTTGGCCAGCCGTGAGTACTTTACTTTTCCTCTCTTCTCCTCCTCAGCTGGTGTGGCCTTCCCCCGGATGGTGGTCTCTCTGTCCTCCTCCTCTTCCTCCTCCTCCCGCTGCAACAGGTCTGCTTTCCAGCCTGAGGGGGCCTTTAGCCTCAGGCCCTTTGGGGGTGTGTCGCACTGCCACACACACAGGGCTCCATCCTGGCTGAGTGAGTACAGCTGCAAGAGGAAGAACACACAGCACATATGTTGCCCTTGGGCCCATGGTGGCCATCCATGGCTGCCACAACCCATGACCCTCTCTCTGGCTTAGATCCAAGCGATAGTTCCACTGAAGGTGCCCCTCTGAGCAGGGAAGAGATGATTCTCTATGGGCAGAAGCAGCTACTGCTGGTCCCTTGATGTTCCCCAAGCCACCTGGGATCAGTTGGGAGGATGTGCAGGGAGGAGGCAGCCTGACCTCAGGCCTCTGGGCCTCACCTACATACCGCTTTTATCATTGACGCCAGTGGGCAAGGGAACTTGGACACAGAGACTTACGTCAAGGCTGTTGGACTCAAAGAAGCAGGCCACAATGGCATCCTTGTGTCCCCCCAGTGCATAGTAGATGAGGTTGTCCCAGCGCTCGGCGCCAAACACCCAGGTGGACATGTCTTTGCTCCCCACCACAAAGCACCTGGAGCAGAGGGAACAACACCTCCTCAGGGCACAACTGTGATGACAAAGGCAGCATATGTGCTCCAGAGTGACACGTAGGGAGACCACTTTACTCCTTTGTGGGTCTCAGAGGTGAGTTCTGAGAAGTACAGGTAGGACATTCCAGCATGGCCTGCCAGCCCATCCTTCCTGCTCTCCTGGGCATTAGCTGCATCCACCTTGTACCTTCACCCTCCTCATTTCTCCTGATGTAGCCTATTACCCAACCACAGCAAACTGTTTACGGTACAGTCAGACAGGTGGGACTCGGGCAGCAATAGGTAGGATGGTGCAGCCACGTGATATGCCTGCCCCAGACTCAGCACTCAGGATACTGACAAACCACACTCTGCGTGGGGGCTGCACTCTCCCTGGGCATGGCAGCAGCGGCCAGGACCAGGATGTGGAAGCAAGGCCAGTCTCATAAACAGAAGCCACGCCCCCACCTCTCCCTGCTGTGGCACCTGTGTGCTGGGATGCGGAAGGGCTGAGAGGAAACCAGCAACTCTGCAAATACCTTAGGGGACAGAGACAGCTGTGGAATGACCACCTTGTGAAGGAGGGGCATAGGCCTCCACACGCACAAGATTCTCCTGGCTGAACACAGCTGGTCTAAATGCTAGATGATACAAACTCAAATAATACCCCCTATCATCAACATCAACACCAGGTCAGCGCAGACCTAGCCCAAATCCTGCAGTATAGGTAGGAGACATTTCCAAATGAAGCTTCAGGACCTGAGAAAGGGTCCCGGTCCCATGGCCCCAAGGCGAGAGTGGACAGAGGCGTCCTTACAGGCCCTGCTCCCCTGCAGTGCCCAGGCCTCACCTAGAGTCATCTGTCCAGTCAATGCACGTAGTTTCATCATATGGCCCAAAGTAGGTTTTGTCCAGAACAAAGGCATTGAACTCTCGCTTCTTCCCAGGGGCGTGGTACATCTGGGCAATGTTGCCCTTTGTGATGACAAACTTCCTACCGAAGAAATGAGGACATAGTCGATATTCAAAACCAGCAGTAGCCCCAAGACACCACAGAGCCCTGAGATAACAACTCAGTCTGTGCCCACCCAGGTCTCTCCAGTCCTGCCTCTCCCACAGGATGGAGGCTGAGGAATGAAGGAAGCAGAAAAGAAGAGACAGAAACATAGGGCACCTCAGCCATAATAGGTTTCTGCTCCGAAAAGAAGGCAACCAGTGCCAGTGAGGGTGACTCATGTATCTGATGGGAAAGCTCTGAAGCCTAGGCAGCCAGCTTGGCAGCAGCATGCACACCAGGCCTCACTCCCCACCAGCCGCCCTTACCTGCCGTCGGGGGAGAAGGAGATGCTGTGCACAGAGCCCTTGAAGTGGAAATGGTGCAGCACAGACCTGCAGACCAGGCTGACCAGCAGCGCGTTGCCCCCTGCAGGAGGTCAAAGGTGATGACATGCAGCAACCCCAAGGACCCCCAGATACACAGTGCCGCTTGTCTCATGCAATAGGAGACACGAAGAAAGGGTTTGCATGTGTGCACTCTAGGGCATCAGGACTCCTCAATGCCTGCCTGAGGGACACCAGGCCCCACTCCGCCCCAGGTGACACCGAGGATATAACCTCACCCATAGCACACCCTCATCCCCAAGTCCCTCCGAGGCCCCCGACATGAGACTGGGGAGTGGTTTATTCCAGTCCCATGTAGCGCCCCCAAGTCCATTCTCACCTGACTCCCGGTCCCTGCCACATTGAGGTAATTACCTTCATCGATGATGATTGCAAGGCGGCCATCTGGGGACAGCCCCACACACTTGACATTATACCGAGTGGCCAGGGGCAGCGTGTCAGATTTGTTGCTGATAAGTCAAAAAAAAAAAGACAGTTGGTCCTGAGTCAGATAAGGGAGATAGGCCTGGCTTGGGACCAGCAGTCCACCTTCCCCACGAGGCCCCACTAGACCCCCATGTGCCAGAGCTCATCTGTTCACCCCCAAAAAGAAATCACTTCAGCCTTGGAGAAAATTTAGCAAGACATATTAAACGCCTTAAAAATGGGCTTTCATATATCAACTTTGCTTCTAGGACTTTATACTGAGAGGATTCTGCCTACGCATGATGTCAGAAAACCAGAAACAAGCTAAATGTCCAACAACAGGAATGAATCAGTGACAGCACATTCATGTAAAACTGTTGTTTTTTTTTTTATTATCATTTATTTATTTATTTTTTTGAGTTGGAGTATCACTCTGTCACCCAGACTGGAGTGCAGTGGCCACCCCCGGCCACTGCAGCCTTGACCTGCTGGGCTCCGGCGATCCTTCCACCTCAGCCTTCCAAGTAACTGTAACTACAGGCGCGTGCTACCATGCCTGGCCAATTTTTTATTTATTGTAGAGACGGGGTCTCAAACCCATGGGCTCAGGCAATTCACTCACCTTGGCCTCCCAAAGCGCTGGGATTACAGGCTGAGCTACCGAGCCCGGCTTGTAAAACTGTTTTTAAAGAAATGGACAAATAAGCAGGTGCAGGCAGATCTTAGAGATACTGTTGGTTTGGCTCCCAACCACTACAATAAAGTGAATATCGCAATAAAGCAAGTCATACAAATGTTTTGGCATACAGATGACATATTTATATTATACTGTAGTTTATTAAGTGTATAATACCATCATATCTTAAAAAAAGGTACAGACCTCAACGAAAAATACATTACTACTAAAAAATGCTAATCCTTTAAGCCTTCAGCAAGTCCTAATCTTTTTGCTGGTGGAGGGTCTTGTCCCAATATTAATGGCTACTGACCAACCATGGTGGTTGTTGCTGAAGGTTAGGGTGGCTGTGGCAATTTCTGAAAATAAGATAATGAAGTTTGCCTCATTGACTCTTCCTTCCACAGAAGATGTCTCTAGCACGCAATGCTCTTTGACAGCATTTGACCCATGGTAGAGCTTCTTTCAAAATGGGAGTCAAATTCTGCTGCTACTTTATCAACTAAATTTTGGAATATTCTAAATGCTTTTAGGCTGGGCACAGTGACTCATGCCTATAATCCCAGGACTTTGGGAGGACGAGGTGAGAGTACTGCCTGAGTCCATGGTTCAAGACCAGCCTGAGCAACTTGGCAAGACCTCATCTCTACAATAAATAAAAAATTAGCTGAATGTGGTAGCACATGCCTGTAATTCTAGCTACTTGGAAGGCTGAAACAGAAGAATCACCTGAGCCCAGCAGGTCGAGGCTATGGTGGCCATAAGCATGCTACTGTACTCCAACCTGGGTGACAGAGTGAGATTCCAACTCAAAAAAACCAACAAAACCAAAAACCCCCAGCTTTATTAAATGTATTTGTTAAATACTAAGACTTCAAAGTAAAAACTACTCCTTGATTCATGGACTACAGAATGGATGTGGTGTTAGCAGGCATGAAAACGACATTCATCTCCTTGTATATCTCAGAGCTAGACCGACCAGGTACATTGTCAATGAGCAGTAATATTTTGAAAGGAACCTTTTTCTGAGCAGTAGGTCTCAACAGTGAGCTGAAAATGTTGTAAACTGATGTGCTATCATTCAGACTTTGTTGTTTCATTTATAGAGGACAGGCACAGCAGAGTTAGCAAAACTCCTAAGGGCCCTAGGATTTTTCAGAATGGTAAATGAGCACTGGCTTCACCTTAAAGTCACCAGTTGCATTCGTCCTAACAAGGGTCCTTCTGTCCTGTGAAGCTTTGAAGCCAGGTGCTTACTTCTCTCTAGCTATGAAAGTCCTAGATGGCATCTTCTTCCAATTGAAGGCTGTTTCGTCTACAATGAAAATCTGTTATTCAGCGTAGCCACCTTCATCAATGATCTTGGCTAGATCTTCTCCATCAGCACTTGCTGTTTCACTTTGCACTTTTAGAAAGAAAGGTTTCTTTTCAACCTTATGACCCAATCTCTGCTAGCTTCTAACTTTTCTTCTGCAGTTTCCTCACTTCCCTCCACCTTCATAGACCTGAAGGGAATCAGAGCTTTGCTTAGGATTAGGTTTGGCTTAAGGAAATGTTGTGGACCACTTGAACTTTCTCCCTATCAGCAATAAGGCTGTTTCCCTTTCTTATCATTCATATTACTTTACTTCAAGAATTTTTCTTTGTATCCACAACTTGGCTAACTTTGGTGTGAGAGACTTAGCTTTCAGCCTATCTTAGCTTTGGACATGTCCTCCTCACTAAGCTTAATCATTTTTAGCTTCTGATTTCAAGTGAGAGATGAGTGACTCCCCCTTTCACTAGAACACCTGGGGCCCATTGTAGGGTAATTAATTGGCCTAATTTCAATATTGCTTTGTCTCAGGGAATAAGGAGGCTAGAGAAGAGGGAAAGAGGCAGGGGAACAGGAAGTTGGTGGAACACACACAACACTTATCAATTAAGTTCTCTGTCTTATATGTGCACAGTTTGTGACACCTTGAAAAAAATCACAACAGTAACATCAAAGATTACTGATCAAATCACCATAACAGACATAATAATGAAAAAGTGTGACATACTGTATTTCTACAGTGTGACAGAGACACAAAGAGCACATACTGGTAAGAAAATGGAACCAACAGACTTGCTCAATGCAGAGTTGCCTCAAACCCTCAATTTGTAAAAAAATACAAAACTACAATTCTGCAAAGCACAATAAAACAAGGTATACCTGTACCTCTCAATGTCAGAACTAGACTCTGACTTTGTCACATGGCTATTAACTCTAGAAAGCCCTGTTAGACATTATTTAAACTAACTACAAGTAGCAGCACTAGCAGCTGTCGCCATACACATCTGTGTGGGTGCTCCTCAGGGGCAGGGGCACAGAGCATGTGCTGCTGCCTCATCTGTCAGGCAGGGAGACTGAGGCTCCAGGGCTACCCAGTTGGAGTTCCAGAACAAGACAGAGGACCAGTAGCCTTTACAACAAAAGAACTTCAATCGGACAGAAGAGGGGTCAGCCCATGATCTCCCCAACAAGTCTAGGATAAGAAGGGAACACCACACTTGCTTGGAATAAAGAGCTAAATGTGAACAACCAAAATTGACCTCTGGCTGCCCAGCAGCATCGGGGTTCCCGAGCAGGGGTCCAGGGCAGCCTCAACTCCCCACCACATGATCTCATGGTCCTTAGGACTCTGCCCTCATGGGAGAAGTGCTAACCTTGAGCTACGCCTTCTCCCCATCTCCCCATCAGAGAGGCAGAGTCCCTTCCCACACACTTTTTACCTTTAACACTAGTGATCTAGACACACAGGGCTTGGCTAAGGCACCAGAAAGAAGAACCAGGAATTGGCTGCCAATTCCAAGACTCATCTGTTGACCCTAGTAAGTCCTGTAGCCTTGTCTCGGGCTACCTTGATTGATGGTACCATAAAAAGGAAGGTGAGAAAGACACCAGCAATTTTCACATGCTATTTAAAAATTACAATAATAATTACCACTATTATTAATATCTCTTTAGAATACTTACTTTTTAAGATCAAATACAGTGACTCTATTGCCCACAGGACTGATGACTGAATTTCCATCACACGTAAAATTTAAGTTTCCACGCCGATAAACTGTACCCAGCAAGTTTGAAAACTGAAAAGAAAACAAAGCTGTCCTAATACAAAGAACACAGAGTCCCGACTCCCAGAAAAGGTCTAAGTGAGGCAACTAGGCAGAGAACCCCACTTTGTGTTCCCTCCAGGCACCTCCTGGGATATTTCCTGGGCAAGAGTGGAAGAGGTGAGCATGATCCTCAGGAGACCCCAGAAACTCCAAGCTTCCACTGAGGTGAGTAAGATTCCATGAGCATCTGGGGAGCCTCCTAAGACAAGTGGTATCCCAGGGGAAGAATGGGCAGGACCCATGTTTTAAAGTAAGCTATAATAATAAAAGAGCATCTCAAAAGCATCTAGGCTCAAGGCATACTGAGCATTCAGCATCTCATGTTTGCTTCCTATTTATTTATCCAATCATTCATCAAACACAAGTGTCCACTAAAGACACCACCATGCATGCAGACACATGTACCTGACGGTGGATATCTAGTGGGAGAGGAGATGAGAAGCATGGGAGGGAGGGCCACTTTAGAGGGTTGTCAGGGAAGGTGGCCTGGAGGAGTCACCTGGACTGGAACTTAAATGAGCAGGTGCCAGCCAGGCCAGGATCTGGGGCTTCTATAGGTAGACAGTGCCCCAGTTCCTCAGGGAGGAGCCTGGTCAGCAGGAGGGGTTTTAAGCAAAGGTGTGCCATGACCGGAGGCACATTTTTTTGCCACCCCACTAATGATGGTAGAGTAGATGAAGTCTAGGCCTGTGAGGAGTTGGGCATGGCTTCTGGTAGGTGTTGGGCCCAACAGCACAGAACATGCAGAGGAGCAGGGCCACATTCGGTTCTGGACAGGACGGGTGCAGGACCCAGTGGGTAGATGGTGCAGCCCTGGAGACCAAGCCTGGAAGGAGCTGGGACCCAACAGGGAGGCTGACTCTCTAGAAGCAAACACAGACTTCCACGGCAATGGGACGAGTAGGTCAGGGCCACTGTGCCAACCACCGGCTTTTCCAGAACAAGCCAAACCAAAGGTGCAAACTCTCCAGAGATTCTTAGGTCGGCTCCCCTCCCTCCACCTCATCTCGTGCCCCACCCGCGTCCTTCTCACCTCACGTTTGGAACCACAAGTCTCATCTCCCAAACCTACATCATCTCCCCAGAAAGTCCACGTTCCCGCCTCTGGGAATCAGGTCACAGCAGGGCTTCCCTGCCCCTCTGCGCTCACCCGGACGCTCTGTCACCAGGGAGAAGCCCCGGGCCACTTCTGCTCCCACCTCTTAACTCTTCCCAAAGGTGCTGGCTGCCACCTCTGGCAGTCCCGATTCCACCCTTAGGGTGGACCATATTGAGGTTAAAAATACTCCGACCTGCAGATCCCGGCCGGGAGTCTCTGTTCCTCCAAGACGTCATCAGCGCCCCCGTCCCGGCTCCCCACAGGTCTCCCCTAGCCCAGCCCGTTCGTTCCTGGTGTCCCCGAAATCGTGAGCACGCAGGGGCCGTCGACCCCCACGCGGCCTTGTCGCGAAAGCGGACCACAGCGCCCCCAGCCCACTCGCCTCGGCCCGTATGAGTGCTCTACCCGGCGGGAAACAGGCCCACCGAACGGAAGCGCCTAACCCGCCAGCCCCACAACCCCGCGGTTACCCGGTACGCGAACTTCATTGCGGCCGCCGCACACGTGCGTAGCACAACCAGCACTCGCCCGCAGAGGCACTTCCGGGTCGGGAACGCACACTACCGCCCTCTTCCGGGGCAGGATCACAACCCGGAGGCCGGAAAATCGGCCCCGCCCTCACTCCGCGGTACAGCTTGAGCACCAGGATCCGCCCCTCGAGGGCCCCGCCCACACCCCGGAGCCGCACACGCGCTTTCGGGCCTGCCTCGAGGGCTGAAGGCGTGGGAGGACTTAGGTGCTAGTGGGCAGGGCAAGCTCCACGCCCCCGCCCAGATTAACTTCTTGCACTAAGAAGAGCCGGCGGGCGCGGGTGCAGGAAGGGACATGATGCGTGCTTATGATAATGAAAGGGGGAACACAAAGAACAAGAGTCTTGATGAACTAAACTGAAACCAGAGCTTCTCAAGGAAACTGTTGGCGCCGCCACCAAACCCCACAACACGTGCATTTGCGAGGCGGTTGTCAAATCCAGTCAAACGTCAAGACGGAAAAAACTCGAAAGCCCTGATAACTCAAATGTCCTCATTCTTGTGAGTTACTGGGTAAGAAATTAATGGAAAAAACCCTACTGCTTCCCCAAAAGCAAATAATGTATGCCTAAAAGTCAGTAACAAGGATTCGGGAGAGAAAACAAGAAAATCTTTGAATATTCCACACTCGATTTTCACATCGTGCCACAGCAAAATAATCAAATTCAAAACAGCAGTTTCTTCTTAAAATGTGTATTTTCAGAACTATAATGCTTACATTTTAAAGTCTTAATACAATGGTTTTAGTCTAACAATATATTACAGAATATGAAAAATGACTTTTCATAGTAAGCCATGAAAATGGAATTAATACCTGCAGTGTCAAAGTCACCAACTTGTTACCTTTTCCAGTCACAGAATCCCAACAAATTGTATTAATGATGCTTGCGGTTCTCACAGCCTGATATATATGATGAATAAATTTTGAGAAAGGGGCATGTTCAGGAAAATAAACTTAAAAACCATATAGGATTTATTTTACAGATCACAGTTGAAAGTAAAACATTTAGATTAGTAGTTTGTTCTTTCATAAAAATTAATATCTTTCATCTTATATACAAACCTAGAGTGTTTAATTTCACTTAAAAACTCAATATTATTTTAAATACTAAAGAAAATGTGAATAGAAGACTTGCATGTATTTTTTTCTTTTTTTTTGAGTGGGAGTCTAGCTCTGTTGCCCAGGCTGGAGTGCAGTGGCACACTCATGGCCACCGCAGCCTTGAGCTATTGGGCTCAGACATCCTTCTGCCTCAGCCTTCCAAGTAGCTGGAACCACAGGCATGCACCACCACGCCTGGCTAATTTTTTTGATTTGCTGTAGAGACTGGGTCTTGCCATGTTGCTCAGGCTGGTCTTGAACCCCTGGGATCAGGTAATCCTCTTGCTTCTGCCTCCCAAAAGGTTGGAATTACAGGTGTGAGCCACTGCTCCTGGCCGGTATTTTCTTTACTTTTTATGGGATAACTAGCCTCATCGACTAAGGCTTATATATAGGAATCTGACCCAGCCTAGGCCGTGCTGACAATGGAACTGTAGGTAAAAGTCATTTTCAGATTCAGTACAACAATTTCCACAGTAGAAAAGCTATAATTTTTCCAATCATAGGAGACCCCATGAAATTCACAAAAATTATAACTTACTTTCTTTTCCATTTGATAGTATTTACATGTTCCACAGATATTTGCAAACGGCTGCATATGCTTTGCTTCTTAGATACATACACATTGTATATCTGGCTTCACAATTATTTAACAGCTGCTACATCTTTATTGACAAAACCAGCTTGCCTCAAACACATAGACCTTTATTTAAAACACAGTAAAAATCCAATTATAGTTACTCTTTTAAGGAATATTAAGTAAAAATAAAATACTAAGTGATATTCTTTTGTACTTAAAAAAGGCAGAAGCACTCATTTAACATAGTTTGCAAAAGATCTTTTGAGTAATTTGGGAAAAAAACTGATGAAATTTTATTTCATTCAATTTCTAGACAATAAGAAACGATCATATTTTGAATTTCCCCTTCATTTTCTTCCTCTGAATATATATGTAATTGCAGAATTTCATCCTGGGAGTAGAAACCAGATACAAGAAAATCAAAGAGTAATAAATTTATTTTATTTATTTAAACATTTAATCACATTCCCTCTTCCAGAAGGTGAGGGAAAAAGCTACATTATACACTGAGGAAGGGTATGTTCTCTTGACTCCTCCAAGGCTGACCACATGGATTAGACACTTCTCTGACAGAATCAAACTCAAATATCTTTATGCCCAGGATTTGGCAAATCTGTGGGGCAATCATCAATTTTTATAATAAAAAACCTTATTTTAGAAATCTTAAACTATCATTAGATTCTGAAGTTCTAATTTGCTAACTAGTTTGACCAAGTTTATTAGTTTCAAATTGCACATAAGGAAGATACATTTCTGAGAAGTTTAATTAAACACAAAAATACTTTTCTTTACACATTTCTCCAATTTCTACAAATGAAAAAGACTTAAGAGAGGAAAAATAATCACACCACCTTTATTTACTGAATGAATTAAAAGACAAGATACAGAATACTGAAAATGACTGCTCTGCCCACACCACAACCTCCCAGAGCTCAGTGCCCAGCAGAAGTCCCGACAGACAGGGGCCCAGTCCCGGTAGCTGCAGAGGCCCCTTCCTCTTCAGGACTCACAGGGCTCAGGTTGTCCACACCAGGTCCCACCCTCTGTGCATCAATCCTGTCAAGTGTAATTCCCAGTACACTTCCCCAGTAAATTAAGATAACTCTATTTTATATGTACAAAAATACACTGCTTTGGAGAGCTGGAAAAGGTTTAATACATACAACACCTATTTACAAGCTGTGACTTCCACACAGTAAAAACAAACACACTCATTTTTGTCCTTGATTTTTTGGTGCAACTTATACATAAACATTACATCAGTTAGTATGTATTTTTAAAAATAATAAATCAACCATATGTACAATTAAATTTACAACTGAAAGCAAACTAATCTGCTGCAACAGTATGACTGCTACTGAGAGGACCAGCAGAGGTGACTCCAGGACAGGAGTCCTTCCCTACGGCAACGCCAGAACACTGAAAGGACTCCTCCCATCTCCACTGCAAATGGAATCTCTTACTTTCTAAGACTTAAGGTGCAAAAGAAAAATATAGACTATACAGCTACAATTACATGTAAAGACTTTAAAGGTGAGAGAAAAACAACATATTAACCCCATATAGATAATGGTAATTAAATTAAATATATATTTAATTCCCAGTGCATATGATATTCAATCAACATTATGGGGGAACAGAGAGTTCCAGAAACATTTATCCCTAAACTACTTTAATGTCGAGTTGCTCCTCATGCCCCAGTCTTAAGTACCTTTAACATGGCTCCAACTGATGGACCTCCAGGTCCCCCAGCTCTGGCATCCCAAGGCACAGAAGGGGTTATGTTCCCTCCCTCCCCATCCCTCACCCACCCACGTTCCCTGAAGGGGTATTATTCTAGAAAAGCACAACTAGATGGTCTAGGGTAAAGGTTTGTGTTTTACCCCTAAGGAGACTCACCCTCCTTAGGGGTAAATCCACTCTGGTCCAGAAATTGGGCAGTCGTGTGACCAGAAAGGCACACATCTGTCACTAAGAAGACTGAAGGCCTGTCTACCTGAAAAACAAACGGACTTCCCTGAAGAGCTAGCAGACGGAAGGCTGCTCAGTGGAGAGGCCATGGCAGAACTCTCTTAGGAGCAGGAGAGGGAAGGAAGTCAGGGCTCTGTGTAAACACTGTAGGACAACAGCACAGGGATGGGGATGAGAAAACAAGTGACTTTAGACAACACATACAACATGAAAATGACATGAGAATTCAGCTGTACAATGACATTCTCTGACACCTTCACGGCCAGGCAGGATCACCAACAGTCTGGCTGGAGCCAGAACAGAGAAGAAATCTAGTCACAGTCCCGTAAAGTGCACTCACAGCTAGGCTGTGGCATCTGCTTGCCCAAGGTGCTGTCATGTGACACTGACTTCCAGGACATGGTCGTCTTGGCTGGGGATGACCAGGATCTGCATGCCAGCGCTGGCATTGAACACCTGGCCGGCGGGCAGCGCCTGCAGCCGGGGCATGGGCAGGCCTTTGTGCTCACCGCTGGAGGTTGAGTGCACACTGCCTCTGCTCTTGACACTGCTGCTGTCCAGCGGGTCGTCCATGTGCTTGTCCACCGACAGGCTGTCGTTTTCTATCCAGCTATCTGCAAACCACATGGGATGTCAGACCCAAGCCACACTGACACCAACCCAGGGAATGGCAAAGCCACACTGAGCCAACCTTCAAGTGCGGGGAGCCACCTGAGGCTGCCCTTTATAGAACATCCTGCATGCAGGAATGTGCCAAAGGCTCCTAACGGCAGACCAGGGTTGTGGTACTCTTTTCTACAAGCACTGAAAACACCTTAGTTCTCAAATCTGCTCATACATTCGTTTATCACCTATCAGCACAAAGCCATCATCTCCTCAAATAAGGAATTTATACTTCTTTAAAAGTCCTTACCAGCATCAAGCTGTGAGGAGTGCGCAGAATGATGGGGGAGGTACTTGAACAGCCTGACATCAGGCAGAGGGAGGTAGCCTGCGAAGAGTGGCATCACCTCCATGTGGACCCTGTGAGTGGCCTGAGCAGCCACCGGCATGGAGATGACACCACAGCTTTTCCCGCACACGGCCCAGTTGCTGCTGTTGTCGACAACTGAAACAGAGGAAGCCACAGTGTGACCCCAGGACAGGGCCTGTAGTATTCATGCTAGAGTAAGAACCATCATTAACCAGTGCTTAAGCACAGAGTGAGAAACTGAGAATATATACCTCAATGCCATGTAACCGCACCTTGAACTAAAACCCATGCATTTTGTTAACTATGATATGCCAACTATAGTCCAACATTGACTTAGTTCTAGTTTAGACTGTTATGTTAGATGCATATGGAAAAGCTGTTCTCCTCTGAAATTAATAAGTGAACAATAATTTACTTTTAATTTGAAATATCCTTGAGAATTTCAAGCGCAATGCTTCAAAAGTGTGGTTCCTTTGGCTGTTAAATTAAAAATGGGCAGTGGATGGTTCTGTCTGGTAAGTGGCAGTATCAAAGAAGACCAATGGGTCTGAATCCCAACTCTGCTGCTCAGACAAGCCTCAAGACCTCCAGGCTCGTGACCCCTGTGCAGTGTTGAGAACACTACTGACCTCATGAAGCTGCTTTTTAAGGATGGAAAGAGAATATTGTACAAAGGGACTTCAAAACATTCATGGAAAATGGGACTAAAAGACAAACATAAAAAATATGAATCTTATTTCTCAACAAAAGCTCTATCAAGATCAAGGCACTTTTGTAAGCAATGATACAAGTCATTTAGTCTGATAACTGAAGGTCCTGGGAATTTAACCCTGTCAATGCAGTCTTTTCTACAATATTAACTGAAGAAAAATGGGTACACTTTACAGATTTTTTAAGATTAGGAAGCAAAAATAAGTCACAAGGAGTCAAATGAGGACTATAAGGTGGGTGACCAATGATATCTCATCAAAACTCTCAAAAGATTGCCCTCGTGTGATGAAAAGAAGGTGCAGGAGTCTTATCATGGTGGGAAAGAACTCTCTGGAGAAGCTTCTTGGGCATTCTTCCACTAAAGCTTTGACTAACTTTCCCAAATTACTCTCATAATAAGTAAATATTATTGTTCTTTGGCCCTCCAGAAAGTCAAAAAGCAAAATGCCTTGAGCTTCCCCAAAACTGCTGCCATGACCTTTGCTCTTTTTTTTTTTTTTTTTTGAGTTGGATCTCACTGTGTTGCCCAGATTGGAATGCAGTGGCTGCTCCCGGCCACCGCAGCCTCGACCTGCTGGGCTCCAGCGATCCCTTCCGCCTCAGCCTTCTAAGTAGCTGGAATTACAGGCACGCGCTACCATGTCTGGCTCATTTTTTATTTATTTATTGTAGAGATGAGGTCTTGCCAAGTTGCCCAGGCGGGTTTCAAACCCGCGGGCTCAGGCAATCCACTCACCTCAGCCTCCCAAAGTGCGGGATCACAGGCTGAGCCACCGAGCCCAGCAACCACTGCTCTTAACTGGGCCATGTCCACCTCTGGGTAGCCACTGCTTTGAGTGTGCTTTGTCTTCAGGATCATACTAGTAAAGCCATATTTTGTTCCTGTCACAATTCTTCAAGGAAACACCTTGGGATCTTGATCTCATTTGTTTAAAATTTCCATCGAAAGCTCTGCTCTTGTCTGTGGCGGATCTGGGCACAAGAGTTTTGGCACCCATTGAGTGAAAAGTCTGCTGAATTTTAATTTCCTAGTCAGAATTGTGTAAGCTAAACTGGTTGAAATGTCTATGGTGTTGGCTTTTGTTTCTGCTGTTAATTGTTGGTCCTCTTCAATTAGGGGACACATAGGATTAATTTTCTCTTTGAAAATTGATGTGGATGGTCTGCTGCTATGGGCTTCATCTTCAATATCATCTTGTACCTTCTTAAAACAAGTTATCCATATGTAAACTGCTGATTTCTTTGGGGAACTGACCCCATAAACTTTTCATAAAGCATTCTTCTACCCAAGCTTCACCATAAATTTGATGTCTGTTCTTGCTTCAATTTTAGTAGCATTCATGTTGCTCTGATAGGGGCTCTTTCAAACTGATGTCTTATCCTTCTTAGTGCCTCAAACTAAATCCTGTTCAGACATGTTATCACAAGTTAGTACAAGTTCATTTTGGTGCAAAAGTTTTTGAAATCCATGTATAGTTTGTTCATAATACACATTTTCCATGAACTTTTTAAAGAAAGACCTCTTAAATGTAAAGCTCTTAGTACCATTCCTGGGATATGGTAGTGTCTTAACATGTGACAGGTGTTATCACTAATAGTAATTATGAAAACACAACCCTCATTTAATTAAATACAATGCAAACACCTAAGTGAGCATTCATTGGGATGAGCCCTAGAGATACAAATGTGAGCAGATGAGATCCTTGCCCTCAAGTAGCAGATGACCTGGCAAAGAGGTCACAGCTTCCTGTCATGAGGACACCAAGCAATAGTGCAGGGAGTGTGTAACCAGAAGGCCATAAGCAGCACAGAAGTGTTCACAGAAAGTGGGCTTGCTGCAGGTGGAGGACCTTTGAGGACAAGTGGTCCTAAAGGACAGACAGAGGTCCAAGCAGCGTCAGAAAGTAAGGCAATGGACAGTTCTCAGAGTGTGGCCCTCAGGCACTCATAAGCTCAAGGTGGTGTTCACACTGCTGCCTTTCTTTCTACTGTGTTGACCTTAGATCTGACGACCAACAATAGTGGCATGAACTGAGGCGCCAAGCTGTGCACGTGGTCATGGCGCATGTTCTTTGCTACCATGAACTCACAGCAAACCATGTCCTTCATTAAGCATTCATAATTATTAATTTTACTAAATTCAACTCCCAAGTACATTTTTTAAAATTTCAAAATGTTTACAGACTTATAAGAAGTTGCAAAAATAGTGGAGGGAGGTCACATGTTACCCCAACTATGCCATCTCACATAACATGGGAAACTAATATTAGTACCATACAATTAGGCAGGGTGCAGACCTCACTGGGCTCTCACCAGCTTTTGCAGGCACACACTGTTTTGCATATGTTTCTGTGCATAATTTGATGACATCTGTCACATGTGTAGATTCAGGTAGCCACCACCACAGCCCAGGCACAGAACTGGGGGAGACAGGGGAATCCATGTTGGGGGTGGATATGAAGGGGAGGGAGGCGTAAAAGGAAGCTAGAGGAAACGGGGTAGGGATATGATCATGGACTGTGGTGACAGCCAAGCCGTGGAGTTTGACCTTTGCTTCAGGAGAAACAAAAAGATCCTGTACCACACATAGAGAGGAAAGGACATCTTCAAGTCTTCTCAGCACTGAGACTGGTTAGATGAAATTACCTGTTAGAAGAATGTTCCATAATAGCAAAGTTCAACGTCCAGCAAGCTTAGGATCATGTTATATAGTGACAGTATTAAACAAGTTCTTAATTCTAGAACATTCTCTTTTTGGACAAGGAACATTACACTTTGTGAAAAACAGGGCACAATCATTTGAAGCACTGGATCATCACATAAGCTAGGAAAAAAAGAAGTCGCAACCTACCTTCATACATAAGCTTTGTTGAAAAATACTCATCAGATTCAGTCAGGGATTCATCCTTATCCGCCTCCAAGAGGTCTGAGAGCCGTGTGATCAGTACCTCCAAGGAGCAGAGTGAGCCTGTTCTACAGTACTCCATTCCCGAAGTGGGAAAGATCTCAGCCTTCACATTATATAATGTCTGTGCAGGAAAGGGAGAGAAAAGTTGAAAGGAAATATACCTGAAGAGTCCTGAGAAACGAAAACAAATGTGGAGCTGCCCATAGACCTAGAAAAACCCAGGAGACCCTGTCTGCTCAGCAGACCAGAAGGCAACTGTGGCCACCTACTGTAATGACTCCTCCTGCAGACACCATGTTCTCATGAGCCTAACTCCACAGCTTACAAGCCTTTCTTAAATTATGGACATTTTCAAACTTAAGAGTCTTCTTCATTTGTTTCATCTATCTACTGATCTACATTTCTGTATTTGCCAGAGTATTTTAAAGCAAATTTCAGATAACCCATCACTTCACCCTGCATTACTAAAAACTATGGACATTTTCTTACCAAAACACAATGCCATGATCACAGCTAGCAAAATTAACAGGAACGTCTTGGTATCATCCAATTCAGTCCATAATCTACTTTCTCTGTGTTTTATTTCCATAATCAACCTATTCTCAGTGGCTATTCATATATGCCTAACATGTTATCACCACCTATGACAAAGGATCAAAACCTACCTGCCACTGCAAAGGTGAAAAAGGGTTTACCCCCCAAAGGCATTCTTTCATTTTATATTTATGTCGGTGTATGTGTGTAATAATTACAGTATAACTTGATTTAAAAGTGTCCTGTTGGTATTGTAAAATGCTCAAATAAGAGATTTTGGAATATAAAAGCATGTTTTAGATGATCTTCCTATCAAACATGCAGATGATCTGTTTGGAGACAGGACAAACTTCTACCAATCTGAAGAGGGGCCACTCTGGGATTTTCTGTGGCTCTCTGACCACAGGGCACAGAGGATGTCTGAATATGCAGATACAAATGAGTGTTGGTCACATGCCTGCAGAGGCAAGTCCTTCACATCCTGGGGAAACATGGTGGTTCAGTTAAACATCTCCTGCTCTTGAGAAGCTTCCAGCTGGAACACAGTCAGAAATATTTCTGAATCTGGCCAAAGAAGAGTGCTGGTTTGCCTCAGAGCTTACTTAAAAGTTGAAGCAAGACAAATGGGAGTCCGCCGGGCAGCGCATGTCCTTGAACTCCATTTTGTGGCTGTACCCAAGGAGCAGCTGAGGGAAAGCGCTGGGCCACAGAGGAAGCAGTGAGGGCCCCTTGCCTACCAGCGGCTGAAGTGACCAGACACACAAAGCCTCTCCAGAGATAAACTAACATGTTTGGACAACTGACTTCCAACAAGGGTGCCAGAACCATCCAACAGGGAAGAAATGGTCTTTTCCTCAAGTGATATAGGGACAGCTGATGGACCACATGGAAAGAACAAATTTGGACCCCACCTCTCACCACACACACAACTTAATTTAAAATAGATCACAGACCTAAATGTAAGCATTAAAGTTATGAAAAGAAAGTGGAGGAAGAAGTCTTTTTGACCTTGGATTAGGCTAATGATTTCCTAGATCCAAAACCAGAAAGTCAAGTAATAAAAGAGAGATAAATTGGACTTCATTAAATTTTAAAACTTTTGTGCTTAAAAAAAATACACCAAGGTGAGAAGACAACTAATAGGATAGGAGAAAACATCTGAAGATCCTATATAAGGACTTGGTACCCAGGAAATATAAACAACTTACAATTCAATCATAAAAAGACAGATAGCTCTATTTAAAAATGGGCAAAGGATCTGAATAGACAGCTTTCCAGGAATATATACAGTCAATAAGTCCACAAAAAGATGTGGAGCAGCACTATCACCAGGGAAATGCAAAGCAAAACTAGGTGATCCCACTTCATACCTGCAGGGATGGCTGCAATCAAGATGACGAAGCAAGTGTTGGAATAGTCTACAGAAACTGGAACCCTCTGTGCTGCTAGTGGGAAGGTAACATGGTATGGCCTCTCTGAAAAACAGCTTGGTAGTTTCTCAAAAAGACAGCCACAGAGCTAAACCATATGACCCAGCAATTCCACTTTTAAGTATTTACCAAAGAGACCTGAATACATATATCCACAAAAGAACGTCATTACTCATAATGGCCCCAAAGAGGAAACAACCCAGATTCTAGCAGCTGATAAACCGATAGACAAATGTGGTATAACCATCCACACAGTATGAAAAGGGAATAAAAGCACCAATATATGCCACAAAATGGATGAACCTTGAAAACACCATGCCAGAAAGAAGTCAGAAACAAAAACATCACATACACTTATATGAAATGTTCAGAACTGGCAAATCCATTGAGACAGACACTTGCCTACAGAATAGAGTGGTCGCCTAGGTTTGAGGATTGATTATTAATGGGCTACATGGTTTCTCTGCGGAATGATAAAAGTGTTCCAAAATAAGATTATGCCACTAGTTATAAAACTCTGTAAATGTACTAAAACTACTGCACTGTATACATTAAATGGGTGAAATTCGTGGTATATAGATTTTGTCTAAAAAAGTTGTTCAAAAAAAGTGGAATCTATATCTCAGGTCCTCAGAATACCAGTTTTGAAAAGAAGAACCCACCTAATTTATTTTTCTGCCATTTTATTCAGCTTTTACAGTTCTAAGAAAATTATTTCAATACTCATACTCTGAAGAGGAAGAAAAAGAAAAGTAACAGTGAAAACTGCTAATTAGTTAATAATCATCTGCAGTAAGCAAAACAGATTACATTTATGCAGACTCCCACATTAATGGATTAATGCTCAGCTACAGTTAACACATCAACAAAGTAATTTTGTAATAGAAAATGAAAAATTATGCTAGTAATTATGTTTCACTTTCTAAGGCTAATAAGGGGAGTTAAAACATGAAGGTCAAAACAATGATCTGTTTTGGTTGGAAGATAGGAAGAAAAAACTGCTAATAGCAAAAACTACAATAAAGACAAATATTTCCTCAAATAAAGCATTGTTTGATACAACACTAAGTCAAATAACCTCATTAAAGGAAACAGAAACACATCTGCTATCCACTCACCTAGCTCAATGCTACTTTTAGCTCCACACTTAAATTAGCTGCTACCAAAAGATGCATAGGTTCTCAGAAAATGTTTGGCTAATTTTCTTAATAGTTTCAGTTTTTCTTTCAAAAAAACTAGAGACATAGCTTGGAAAGTAAAGGCCCTGAGTAGCAGCTAATAATCAAGATGAAATGACTCTAAAAAATATTTCTAGGACGTTACTAAGTCAACATTATAAAAAGCAGAAGAGAAAAGGAGTCTCTGGGTTTCCAAATGATAAACACTTCTCTTAGAGATGCCACTGGGAATGCGGGTGTCTCAGGTGTGTCACTGAAGAAAGACCCAGTTCTCAGATAAAGACCATGATCCAATTGCCCCAAGAATTCGCGATTTCTCTTAAGTTGCTCCCCATTATGTTGAGACAATTTGTCTATTCAATAGTTTCGATTATAAAAAAGATGGTACCATCTTTCATTTTCCCACCCCACCCCTCCCAAATAATACATTACGTACAAAAAAATTTTCCACTTGAAATTCGTAAGTATATGGCTTTAAGGAGACAGACAGCCGTTCTTCAGAAGTCGGGGAAAATCCAACGGAGAACTGGCAATGCAGAGAAGGGGGGGGCTCTTGAGTCCACTTCAACTCCCAGACAAAGAACACCGACTGCTTGCTGGAGATGCGCTGCAAAGAGAGTCGCTGTCATTGTTCACACAGAAGCACAAGCCCCAGTGCTGGAGCAACACTCTGTGCGAGGGGCTGTGTGTGTTAGGCAGAGTCGTCCATAAGCCCCTGCCCCAGCACAACCCAGAACGCTGCTTGAGAATCCGAGGCACCCACCCCTGCCCTGCCTCCCTCTGCCTGGCCTTGTCCTGGCAGAAGATTGAACATAATGGGTAAGAAGGTCTTAATTGTTTATGATTCCATGAGCCTCACAGCATAGGGAATCGTAAACAAGAATATTTATTAACATAGAGCATATCTCATACATCTCCAAAATAGGAAAATGTCATCATCAATCAATTAAAAAGTATATCTTCACAACCAGGCCAATTACATGTTGAACTTAAGTTAATTTAGAAACCAGCACAACCCAACATATGGGCTGAACACCATTGTTACAAATGAAGTTCACATCCACAAGCAGTGACAGACCCCAGTAAGAGTTGAATGTAGTCAAGTATTAGTGAGGAAATATCCTTTGAAAATGCTAAATACAGACATCCATTAAAAAAACCTTTGATCATCTAAATACCCATCATTTACTGCCTAAAAACACACATGAAAAATACACAGAAAAGGCAAGGACAGGGTTAAGCCAGGCAGCGCAGCTGTGAGTATGGCTCCTTCACAAAGTCCCACCAACACCTACAACAGACACACAGTAGTCCCCGTTTCCTACAGTGATGGTGTCCATGCAACTAACAGGACATTCCAACAGATGTTTGTATCTGCATATGCCTATGCACAAAGTAGGACAAGCTGAAGATTTAATTCCTCCAAAAATACAGATATCTATCTGCTTCCTAGTCCATCCAGCTGCCCCACCCATATACGCCCTCTTCTTCCACGAATAAAACAGAACATGCACAAGGCAGCAAGCACAGCTCTTGTGCCAGAGTCTAAGATGCACATGAGCTTTCACTACTCAGGGAGAAGAAACTGCTCCCTACATTTACAGGCTCAATCTCAACACGTACTATGTCCCTTTCATCAGAACACTACAGATACTACACCTTTACATGTCAGTCCTCTGTTGAGAAGTTTACTCAAGTCTAGAAAATGTTTACCTGCTGGGATTGCGTGTTCAATGGTATTAGATGCAGGTCGGTACTATCACCAGTATCTATAAGATTACTATCTGACAGCTGAAAGTCAAGTTCTGACAAATTCTGGACACAAACTTGAACATATTTCCTAAAGCAAAAAAAACAAACAAAAAAATGATTTTGACATTTAAGAACTTTACTAAATATACCTTAGTTCTGTTAAGGAGACCCCCTCTGACTGGAGAGTCAAAAAGTGACAAAGCAAAATAAGAGTAAGTTGTTACATATATTTCTACTTTGGATTTCATGTGTAAAAGTGTCGGGAAAAAAAAATCTTTTTAGACAAGCAATTTCTATGGGAAAATGGAACAAATAATATTGTTTCTGATGTAGTATGACTAAATGATTATTAACTGGTCACTATAAACTATATACTAGGCTGCATATACCAGACTGTAGTGAGTTCCATGACTAAAAGTGAGACTACTCAGAGAAGCCAATGCAAGGTTCACCTGAATTTCTATAATAGGTAGCAGTCAGAAGAGTCATTCTTTGATAAAGCACCTCAGGTTCTTTTAGAAACTGATGTTTTAACCCTTTATAGCTACAGCTCCCTTGTTATTTGAAGGGGGCAAAAAGCTGCTTGTCTATTGTCCATCTAAATATTATAAATTTTTCTTTACAAATTATCCAAAAGCCATCAATGGACAAAAGCAAAAGGGAATGTTGCAATGAGACCAGATGAGCCACCCGAGCCCAGTGATCAACATTAGTTCTCCCAATGAGGTGGGACACTGGACATTATGGGTCTCCTGATGCGCTGAAGTGCAAAGCTCACAACATCACCTCCAAACTCTCTGGTCTAAGAGCTGAATCAGAGTTCAATCAAGCCTCCAGGGCAGGTGTTTTCAACCAGGGCAATTCAGCTCCCCTTTCAAGGGATGCTGGACAATATCTACAGATATCTGTGGTTATCACAAGTTGGGGTGGGAATGCTCCCGGCATTGAGTGAGAGAGGCCAGGGGTGCTGCTCAACACCCTGCAGTGTGCAGGACAACCCACCATAACAAACAACCTGGCCCAAGATGTCATTAGTGCTGAGGCTAAAAAACTCTGCTCTAGACGTTACTAGCAGGTGACAAGATAAACAGGGACAAGGGAACTAGTTAAACAAAACCATGAAGATGAAACAGCCAAATCCAGAATAGTGGGTCTTCCAGAGGACAACTGACCTGAGTGTGTCAACAAATCAGTGGATTCAAAACAGGAAAGGGAGGATAAAATGAGTTCAATAATCAAATGGAAACTTGGTTTAGACACTGAATCACACAAACCAAATGTAAAAAGTCATTTTTGAGACAGCAGGGAAAATCTGATTATGAACTGAGTGTCACAGGACTTCAGGAAATTACTGTGAATTTTAACAGATGGACAATGGCATTGTGGTTACGTAAGAAGACATCCTTAACGATCACTAAGGCCAAGCTTTGAACACTAAGAGTCCCTACTCAGGAGAGTCCTGGGAAAGAAGCCAAGGCCTGCAGGCAATGTCTCAGATACCGTGTTCCAGCAGACAGCAGGGCATGAGTGGTCTGGAAGGGCACACTGAAGGTCAGCGAGATGACAGTTGAGTAGATGGACCACGGGCAGTCAATTGACACCTGGGGAGGAAGCAGGATACACACTCAGACCCTATATGCCTGACAGCACAGCCCTGCTGCCACCACTCATCCACATTTGTAGTGCCTGCCTGTCTCTAGACATGCTATACCTTTACCACTCATTATTCAGAAAATAAAATCCTACTAAACACATGCACGTGTCGCCAGAATGGTCTCAATACCCAGGGAGCACAGATGTCCTCTAGAGCACAGACCCACCTGCTGATTCCACATGTACGGGGTCACAACGCCAAGCATGTTTTAATGTGTGTGAGGTTTTGATAAAGTGCTTTTAGTCACATATGTCCAGATGACATTAGTCAATCAGTGACCACTCCAAAATTATGTGAATTACCTAAACATTTAATCCACCTAATGCTGAATATGCAACTGAAAACCAGTCCATCTGGGGCCACAGTGTGGACAAAGTTATTAAATCCCACAGGGCAAGATGCAGGTCTCAGACTTCATTTCATTTTTCACAGGGAGCAAATGAATATCCAACCCAACTCCTCCTGTTCCTATGCATGGGAAGGAAGTGGAGGGGAAGAGGCAAGAAAGCCTCCCTAAGGCACAGTGGCCCAGCAAGAAAGCTGGCAGGCTAGAGTTCAGACAACTGTCAATGCTCAGAACAAGAGCATTTCCCACGTGGCCTGCCCAAGTCCTGTGTATACCTGCATGAGATGTCCTCCCATTCCATCCCATCAGCAGATCAACACCCACCCACAAAGGAAGCAGGGCCCTTCCCTTTCTATTCCTTGTGGCTGGAGAATAGATGATGATATCCTGTTCTGAGTCCAGATCATTTATGTACTCGGTACCCTGTGCTCCTATTGAAGTAAGGATCACCTTTACTGTGTGAATACCTTTGAGTTAAGGTGAAAATATTTCCTCTTTTCTCTTCAAAAACTGAAAATTAAAAATTATTCTTCAGGTGTTGATTTGTCTGATCATTTTATGCTTTCTTACCCTATTTACCCTACCACTCTAGGGTATATACTGCAACCCCTGGGCTATTCCAAAGAGCCCTCGGAATTGGAATCTATGCCTCTGAATAGACATGATGTAGGAACACATTTCGTGAACTGATTTCCTGTGCATCTGGGACCAAAATCACGTACCTCACAAATAACTGTCAACAAATACCAGCACCAACACTTAAAATGACAGAACTCATTCCTGGCTATGGTTGGTGAGGCATTTTAGTGGACAGCAACTGAGGCACACATGACACAGCCTAGTCATTGGAGCAAACAGACAATGACCCAGATTTCACTCCCCTCACGCCAGGTTAATTCTATAGCTCTAATCATCAACTTTCTGTCCTCCTGAGTTGGGATATAAGTTAGAGCTTGTAAGTCTTTGTTCTTGCAAAATGCACCCCTTATCTAATAAGAGATGATTCACAGGCATGAGTGCTCAGTAGGAGAGTGCAAGGCATCAGGAGCTCAGCACAGGCCACTTCAACAGAGGGCATTGCTTCTGCACCATCTCTCAGCAGGCAGGATGAGAAGCTGCCACCGCGAGCTAAGCTACTCCACAGCCCCTCCTCACTTTGTGGTCTGTGGTAACCATGCAGTGGCCAGTTTTCTGTTTGTCCTTATGCTTCCTATGGGGCTCTGGCGTCCCCAGCATGTCACTCTCCCCTCCAGGTGCTGGGGCTGAAGGTAAAGAGAGAACTTCCAGTTCAAATTCAATCACGTGGTATGCAGGTGCAGCAGGCAGACTGATGCTTGTGACCTTATCGGAGGACTGGATCCGGAGAGATGCGCTGGAAGACTGTTCTATGAAAGAGAAAAAGTCACTTTAAACATGTTCACTGCTTCATTTTTCATTTGTCTTATAGTATGTGACGAACCCAGCAGTGAGGTTACAGCCCAACTCCTCCTGCTCCTATGTATGGGAAGGAGGTGGAAAGGAAGAGGCAAGAAAGCCCCCAAAGCAGAGCAGCCCAGCAAGAAAGCTGGCAGGCTGAAGTTCAGACAACTTTCAATGCTCAGAACAAGAGCATTTCCCACGTGGCCTGCCCAAGTCCTGAGTGTACCTACACGAGATGTCTTCCCATTCCATCCCATCAGCAGATCAACGCCCACCCACAAAGGAAGCAGGGCCCTTCCCTTTCTATTGCTTGTGGCTAGAGATTGGATGATGGAAGTTTTTCAGGGTTATTGACCAGTTCCCTACTTTTGCTTTCAGAGGTAGACATGTGCTAGGGTGAACGGGGCTGGGAATCATCACAATGGAGCGCAAGCCCAGCCAAGAGGCTGTACCCTGTGTCCTCAGCCAGGTCAGCAGTGTCTAGCTACTGAGTACTTGTGCCCCTCTCAGTCTACTCTCCTCAAATGTGACTCCTGACCCAGATGCCAGGTCACAGCACACTTACAAAATACAGACTTCAGAGTTCACTAAGAACAACTCAGGGCACAAGAAGTATCAGGCCACACTGACAGGGTGGCAGTGATACCAGGCCCATTCTCATACTCTCAAGGTGTGTGACAAAATGAAGAGCCCTCCTGTACTACTGCCTCACAACTGGGAGGCCGGAGCCTTACCTCTCGTGTTAGAGTAGATCACAGCTCTGTTCTCTGTCTGACACAGAATGAGCATGGCTTCTGCATTGCTGAGCTGGAGGCTGTCCCCATTTTTTATTGTATAATGGCCAGTAGTGACAGTGAACTTGACTTTCTGAGGAATACCTGCCAAAAGGCTATCTAAAGGGAAAAAGAGAGCAATTAGCATCACTGTCAACCAGAAAATAGTAATTCAGGGCCAACTATCAGGTACTCTGTTTCTTTTCCTACAAAAGATTTGTTCATTTTAGATATCCCATAAACTCACTCAATTTCTATTCCATTCTGTCCTAACTTTTAATCTCAGTGATGTGATCTGCAGGGTTGAGGGGAACATTGAGCAAAATAATTCTATTGGTCTAGCAAGTTAGGGATTATCATGGCCACTATGTCTCTGATGGTCATAAATTTTACTGGTCCATTAGTGAAACAAAATCAGGTAATGTGACTTAAGAACAGACTATAAAACAACTTGAATGTGCTGGTGCTATTCAGAATTTTCTCTGACTTTCTCAGTTTAGGGCCACCACAGGCTCTTTGGTTCAGAAGTAGTCAGTAGTGGGAACCAGCTACCCCTTGCTCCTAGATAACAATGGAGGGGAAAACTGAGCTTTCTGAGAACCCTGTTCCAGGAGAGGCAGAAAGAAGGTAAGAGTCCAGGACGAAGAAGGGGAGTAAACAGAGAGGGATGCTGAACCAGAGGCAGGAGCAGGGGAGGTTGCTCAGTGCTGTAGGCACATGCCACAGGAGGGCAGGGCCTGCTCAGCAGGTGCTTCCTCTCCCTGAAGTACAGAGCTCAGTCAGATTACATGGAAGAAGCGTTTGAGAGACTACTATGTTCAGCATCTGAGGCCTTTGCTGGTGGCCATGCAAAGAGAAGTGAGAATGAAGAAAAATAGGGAGAATGGAGAGATTAAGTAGAAAAAAAAAATGCTTTTTTTGATTTTTTTTCTAAATGGAAGAAACAAGCAAATAAATATATTGTTCCCAGCCTAAACAACTGAGACATTCACTTATTGGTGTTTAATTGTCACGTGATCTTCAATTATTTGTTTAGACCAACTCCTTCTAATTTTAGAAATCAGAAAAGACAATAGCTTTGGCTGGGACACAGTGGCTCAGGCCTATAATCCCAGCACTTTCAGAGGCGGAGGCAGGAGAACAGCCTGAGCCCAAGCGTTCAAGACCAGCCTGGGCAACATAGTGAGACCTTGTTTTTATTAAAAAATAAAAAAAAGAAAGAACAATAGCTTTGAATTTCTCAAATGCCATGCCAGAGTCAAGTTTAATCAACATTTTCAAAGGATAACACTTTTGATCTGAGTACAGAACATAACTAAATCTAGTATTTAGCCTCTGAAATGGAACTCTAAGCAGGAAATTATATATATTTTATTAAACTCTGCAGAGTCGTTAACTGACACTTTGCTAACAGGATACTGTAAGATATATATTTAGTCTTCAATCCCATTTCCTGGCATACTAGCTCCTAAAATACTTACAATCTCCAAAGAGATGTATTTTTGTATGCTATGTTAATGAGCTGACTGTGGTTGACAGCCCCCAGGTAGCTTCAGGATTGGGGAGGAGAAAGGGCCTGAAGGTTGAGTTGATCACCAGTGGTCAATGGTTTAATCAATCATGCCTATGTAATTTAACTCCATAAAAACTCAAAAGGAAAGGGTTCAGAGAGCTTCCAGATAGTTAAACATGTAGAGGTTCCTGGAGGGTGGTATACAAGGGAGGGCACTGAAGCTCTGTACAGTTCTCCCATACCTCGTCCTACATTATCTGTGTCGTTTGTAATTCATAAATCAGTAAACAAAGTGTTTCTCTGAGTTCTGTGTGCTGCTCTAACAAGTTAATTAACCCTAAGGAGGGGGTTGTAGGAACCCTGACTTCTAGTTGGTCGGTCAGAAGCACGGGTAAAAAAACCTGGGGCTTGTACTGGAAGTGGGGGGAAGCCTTGGGGACTGAGCTCTCAGCCTGTGGGATCTGACGCTATGTGCAGGGAGACCATGTCAGAATTGAACTAGAAGACACCCAGCTGGGGTCCACTGCAGAACTGACTGGTGGTAGGGATGATCCCCAACACATTTGGTCACAGAAGTCTTCAGAGTTAATTGGGAGAAAAGAAAACGTACTTTGAGTTTCTTTTTTCCACTTTCAGAGCTAATTTTTCTATTTTCTTATTTTCAGACACCATGTCTATTAAACATGAAACTCAGCAATTACGGGAAAGCAAATATTCAGATGAAAAAAGGAAGCACAGTTTAGTTCCCAGGTAAAATGTCCATTATATTACCCAAAACATTGCTTAAAGGCAGACACAGTTAAAATGTATTAGAAGGCTGACATCTTTGCAAGTCCTTTCAAAACAGCATCCACAGTGAGCATCCTGAAGGGCGGAGACATACTCACCAGTCAGTGGTGTCACATGCAGCTGGGGCTCCTGAGAGTACACATCATACTGCACAATGGGGTAGATGTGAGGAAGGACAAACCATACAGGGCCCACCGAGGCACACAGTTGCCTGAGCGTATATGTTCCAGGTTCCTTGGCCTAGGGTCGAAATCAGGCATTTGAAAAGATGTCACTCAGTTTTGCAGTTAGGAGCTTCCTAAGGCAGAGCCGCGTCACAACATTGCTGAACTAGAGAAATGATTCTGCTTCTGCCTCTCTTGCTCCTCCTGCGATCAGGACTACACCTCCACACCTGGGCTGCTCAAAAAGGCCTTCAGAATCCCTCAATCCATGGCTTTCTGAAGAACTGAGGCTTACATTTGACTTTACTTTCCAATAATGCATGTTCAAAATAACTGGTATTTGTGGCATACTCTTTGGAGGGTATGGAATTTAAGACCTGCTCCACACTAGACTAAATACACATGTGGCAAATACCTGTACTTTCCACAGGCCAATTCTCTTAAGTTAGTGGAACTCACAGGACATACTGTGTCAGAGAAGAATTTGTCACAGTGGCTTGGAAGTAACGGTTTTGACACCCAGGCAGCCACAAAAAGAAAACAAGGCCAACTGTAAAAGTGTTCCACCTTCTTTGTCTTCTCATTTTAACAAATGAGAGTGTATCTTCATACATGGGGGAGGCTAACCTATTCCACTAATCCAGTCAGTTAAAAAACTAAATCAAGAAACAAATATCTATGTTAAGAAGTTCACTCTAAGGGTACCCAATCTCCAATCAGACAAAGTGGGGACCAAAGGGAGGCCCAAACTTTACCTGTACAATGACCACATATGTACCTAACCCTGAATAGTACCCCACATCTTTGAAATTTAAAAAAAAAATTAAAAAGAATAATGCTATTATACTCCCCCCAAAAAAGGGCGTTCAAATTGATCAACTGCCAATTTGATATCAAATTTATAATACAAAAAAGAAAATATCAGTGTATTTTTCTTTAAATACAGAGACTAAACCGGGCTAAGAGAACAAAGGACTGTACTTAATTCTCACCACAATTCAGACAATTCCCACAAGCTCCACGGAGGCTTCCTCATAAATGTGAAAGTCATCTTCCCAATCAGAACACATACCTGAGTCCTGAATGTTATCCTGTTGGGCCCTGGCTCCAGGGTCACGTCACTACACTTCAGTACGTGGACCCCCTCCTCCAGAGCTATCCCTGAGGGCATGTCCAGGGAAGAGCTGCTCTCCTGCCTTCTCAGGAGCATGTGGACATTTCTGCAAATAATCCCTGTCGTGTTCAATGAATTATCAGAAGGACTTCTCTCAAACATCTCATACAACTCCAAGGCAGGTAAGCTGTTCTGAGATGCAGGGAAAGGAGGGGTCTCAGCTGGAAAATTAATAATCCCATTGGACGTCTTGTGCTTGGTAAGCCACTCAGCAGTCTTCCGGTAGCTGTTTTTCTCAACGCTGAAATGGACATTGACAGCAATCTGCTCCACGTGAACAGGCACAGGCATCTGACTGCACATGGTTATCTCAAAAGACAAAATGCCACCCACATGGACCACGGCGTTGCAAGGATCAAAATGGAGATCTCTCAGTTGTGCAAAGGAATGCATAGGGAGTACAATCTTGTGACCTGTAAATACAAGTGACCATGTCTTACTCCCCAGGCTATATTTCCTGATAGTAAGAGGTAGCAGACCTTGGGTGCTGTGAGGTCACCCAGAGCACACTTACCACGAGAAGCAAGAAGCAATAACATGTAAAAGAGACCCTCCTAGCCCCCCATCATATTCACAACCTGAAAGTTATTCTGTCAAAAGTTAAATGCAAACAAATGCCTAGATAACACCTAGAAATCATAAAATTTATAGAAATGAAGGTTCTCAAGTCTGCTTTGACAAATTTAAGAGAAATGTACGTCAACTAACTCCACGATTTTAAACTAAAATGTGTAAAAACAGTCCATTTCCTAGAGTTGTTTCCAAGGGATACCAATACTTTCCCACCTACTTAAAGACATTCTCAAGTAAAGATGACCACGTGCCTGCTGTGTATCTGGAAACAGAAACTCCAGGTGTTTTTAAGTCTATGAAATCAGTCAATAAAGCTGAGCCCAGGACAGCAGCAACCAGTAAGCTCTATAGTCACAATGGGGGTGAGAATCCTGCTGCTCTCTCTAACCTCCTTTCTATAAGCACCTCAGTTTTGCCTAGAAAATTCACAAGGGTGCAGAGCTGATCTGTTAAGTACTTATCAAACATTCATCAACTGAAGGGCCTGCCAAGACCAATGCCATAAGATCATGAGAAAACAGTAAACAAACATGGAATATTTTATTCATACATAGATACCAAAGAACATTGGCAAGAAAATCACAATTCAAATAGTCTCACCCACTAAGCAGATGTGGTCATGGCTCTACCTACAATCAGTGTGGGACATATTAAAGAAGCTACTAAGGCCGGGCGCAGTGGCTCAAGCCTGTAATCCCAGCACTTTGGGAGGCCAAGGCAAGAGGACTGTCAGAGTCCAGAGGTTCGAGACAAGCCTGGGCAACTTGGTGAGACATTGTCTCTACAATAAATCAAAAAAGTAGCCAGGTGTGATGGTGTGCACCTGTAGTTCCAGCTACTTGGAAGGCTGAGGTGGGAGGATCACCAGAGCCTAGTAGACCAAGGCTGCGGTGGCCATGAGTGTGCCACTACACTCCAGTCTGGGAGACAGAGTGAGACTCCAACTAAAAAAAATTAAAAAATAAAATATTTTTTTTAAAAAGAAGCTACTAAACCAAACTAACATCATAATGTTCCCGAAAATCCCATACATATGGCGCTATTCAAGTGATTATACCTCAGCAGTCAATGACCATATTAACCTGGAAAAACTGGCTTTCAAGTAGTTAGTAACTACTCAGGAGCTGTTAGGAACCCCCAATGTGACATTACTTGAGAGGTAATTAGGGTTAGATGGGATGAGGCTGGGGTCCTCGTGATGGGATTACTATCTCTTTCTCCTTTCCCATCATGTGAGAACACAGCAAGACAGCTGTCTACAAGTCATGAAGGGAACCCTCACCCGAAACTAAGGCTGCTGGTACCCTGATCTCAGACTTCTAGCCTACAGAACTGTTAAAAAAAAAAAAAAAAAAAAATGCCCCTTGCGTTAGTCATCCAGTCTGTGGTGTCATGTCAGCCAGAGCAGAGTAACACAGTGACTATTTTATTTTAGTATTATCCTTGATAAAACAAACACCAGGAGCTAAACTTCACAATAAATTTAATCTTACTACATAGCGTTATCTATAAAGTCTATTTGCCAAAACATTTAACGTGAATTTAAACCTTTCAGATCTAACTCTCATTGAGATGCTCCTATGAAGAAATAATGAGATAAATTCCAGCAGGTGGGCCAGTCTATGAGAGAACTGGTACAATGTATTAGGCAATAAAAAGAAATGAATTATCAATACATGCTACAATATAGGTGACCTTGACACATTATGATAAGCAGTCAGTCACAAAAGACCACATATTGTATAATTTGTGGAAAGTTGTCAGAATCAAAATGAGAGTCACTTGTTTTTTTTTAAAAAAACTTCACAAACAGATCCAGAGAAGGCCATGAAGGGAAGGTACTCCTGTACATGTATCTGATAAAAACTATCACAAAAGACTGCAGAAACCACAACCTTGCACAAGGTCATCACAACCTTACTCAAACCATGCTTCTTATGGTCTGGCCATGTGCTCTTTGAGCTGTGGCAGCCATGTTTTCTTAGCTTTGGTCCCCTCCCCTACCTGGGGAGGTGAAACTTCCCTCTAATTTACTTTCTAAATAAATTAAAAAAAAAAAAAAAACTTCCGCAAGGACATTTGCCCAGAAACTGCCTGTCTCACCTCTGTTGTTGATCTCTGTAGCCAAGGACAATCATCTCAAAACAATTACGTGATCCTCCTCATTATTCCTTTAAAAGCCCTTGTCTTCCTTTACCTCCCTGAATAACATATAGTTTACTACGACACGCGGGGTTCTACTGCAATGCCCAATTCCCAAATAAACATAATTTTTTTGAAAGCCTTTCTCTGTTATTTAGGTTGACAGATTCTATAGGTTGAATGTCTCTTATCGGAAATGCTTGGGACCAGAAGTGTCTCAGATTTCTAATTTTTCTGGATTTTGCAATTATTGAAATTATAAAATTTCTGTTGAAGAAAGGTTGAAAAACCTTAATCGGAAAATCTAAAATGCTCCAATGAGCATTCCTTTGAATGTCATGTCAGTGCTCAAAAAGTTTCAAATTATGGAACATTTTATATTTTCATATTAAGGATATTCAACCTGTATTTACCTGAAAAATCCAGAATAGGTATCTGTAGAGAAAGAAAGTAGATTAGTAGCTGCCAGTAGCTGGGGGTGAGGGGGAATAAATATGGGGTTCCTTTTTGGGGTAATAAATATGTTTTAAAATTGACCGTGGTGATGGCTGCACACATCTGTGAATATATTAAAAGCTACTGAATTGTACAATTCAAATGAGTGAATTACATGGTATGTGAATTCTATCTCAATAACCCTGTTATATTTATAAAAGCAGCACTATCTTAAAAAACAACAACAAAAAAAGATGGGAAGAAGTTTTAAATTAAAAAAGAACTGAGATATAACAACCACATGTACCATGCGATCTCTTCCTAGACTACATTAAAAATAATTTATGGGTTGTGCACAGGGGCTCACACGTGTCTTCCTAGCACTTTGGGATGCCGAGGCAGGAATATTGTTTTGAGCCTAGGAGTTCAAGACCAGACCAGGCAAACTCCAACTCAACAAAAAACAAAAAACTAGCTGGGCTTGGTAGCATGCACTATAATGCTTCCATGAAATGGGAAAGTTGCTTTCTATTCATACAGCAACTTTAGTCCCAGTTTCCTGGGAGGTTGAGACATGAGGATCACCTGAGCCCAGGAGTTGGGGGCTACAGTGAGATATGATTGTACCACTGTACCCCATCCTAGGTGACAGAGCGAGACCCCATCTCTAAAAATAAAAATAAAAAAGAATAACAATTTATGAAAATATTTTTTGAGACAGTTAGGGAAATGTGAATATGGACTATTTAGATGATACCAGAACCTTGTTAATTCTTTGGGTGATCATCCTTAATTTCAGAAGATCCATGGTAAACTGTTTCAGGGTCAAGTATTATAATGTGGTCCAGAGTTTCTTTGACATTTAGCAAAAAAAGTAAAAAGAAAAATATAAATACATGTTTGCTACACAGCAAAAGGTTAACAAATGTTTACTCTAAGTGGTTGGTATATCTTTTTTAAAATTTTATTTTTAAGTCGAAGTCTCACTCTGTCGCCCAGGATGGAGTATAGTGGTACACTCACAGTCACTGCAGCCTCGACCTGCTGGGCTCAGGCAATCCTTCTGCCTCAGACCTCCAAGTAGCTGGAGCTACAGGCATATGACACCACACTCAGCTAATTTTTGGTAGAGACGAGGTCTCACCAAGTTGTCCAGGCTGGTTTTGAACTCCTGAACTCAGGCAATTTTCTCACCTCAGTCTCCCAAAGTGCTGGGATTACAGGCATGAGCCACTGTACCCAGGCTGGTTGGAATATCCTGTATTCTTTCTACTTTTCTGTAATATTTGAAAATTTTCACAATAAAGTCATAAAATTAGTCTTACCTAGACTGTCTGACTGCTGGCTGGCAAAGTTGAGTATCTCCTGGCAGAAGTACTTCCGCTCCTCTTCAGTCAGGTGACAATCACTGGCTAACAGGCTACTGGTCTGAAGGTAGCTGAAGTGGAGAGTTAAGAGGCCTAGAAAGAGGCCCTCACTGAGGAACATGGAGCAAACTGGCTTCAAATGTTCCCTGAGGCTATCAAAGAGCAGCCCAAAGGGCATTCTTTACTATTTGTTTTCAGTTACTCTGTACTCAAAATGAGATTTAAAAAAACCCCAAAAACTATCGACTAGGCATTTAACTCATTCTACACAATACATGCATAAAGTAGGATTTTTCTCTTTGTAATATAAGTGTTTCTGAAACACTCAGTTGTGGGCAATGTTGCTGTATGAATAGAAAGCAACTTTCCCATTTCATGGAAGCATTAAAGGATACTTTTCCATTTGTCCAAGGTGCTTTTGACATTCAGCCAGCTGCTTCCTTGTGTGTGTGATGGGTAATGCCCAGCCCTCAGCCAGGTAATTTTTCAATGCTCCTTGAAGATATGTTTCTGCCTTTTGTGGAGATTTTTTCCTCCTTACAAAGTCAACAAACAGAAGCTTTTATTATGGTTCATGACAATCAACAAACTGAGACATCACCTTTCATTTCTTGGCCTCTGACCTCCAGACCCTAACGCCAGGATAGATACACCATCTCTAGACAGTCTTCCACACAGCCCCCACATATGAGAAACAGCACCAACTCAGGACTATGTAATTAGACTCTAAAGTGAATACCTGATCAGTGGGCTCGTGGTGATAATACCACACGATTTGTCGAACACTATACACTAGTCAAAATCTTTCACAGTTGAATCTCAGGGTGAGAAAGTGAGAGCATCATTCACTATTTCAAGCTGACAGGAAACCAAAGGCTAAAATAAGGTGAAGGGCTTGTCCTCAAATTAGTAAAGAACTATGCTACCTACTAGAAACACAAACCCAGAGAAGCAGGCTACAGGGCCCAAGTAAGAAGGGAGCATGGGCAATCCTAAAACTCATGTAAAGAATGCTGAACAGGCATCAGGGGTTGACAGGGAACTAGGAAGAATTGAAATAGCAATGCTTATCAACCGAGAGAAGATCTTCCCACTCTCAATTTAAACCTTAAGGAGGTTCAGAATAAAACAATGCAGCTACTTGACTGGCCTTGAGGTTTTCAATCCTCTTAAGAAATATTTGATACAACTAGAAAAATGCTATACAATAAAATATTTTAAATATTTTAAAGCTCAAATTAACAGGGCTTGTCAAAGCCTCAGGGGCAACATGGAACCCTTCACTCTCCTCAGGAGATAAAGGTCAACACTAAATAACACTTTTTCTAGCCATCTTTAGAAGACATTGCCCTTTTCAATACCCTACTCTTGAAACATAGATCTTTCAAATTCTCAAATTAAGTAATTTTTAAACCTATCAGACTAGTTTTTCTAGACTTTTATGGTCTTCCCTCCAACCCCTATTTTTTAAAGGAGCCAGAAACTTCTATGTGTCTTCATAACTACCTCTAGCCAAAGATTCTTACAATCTAGAATTGGGAAAACCTCTCCAAACCATTCATCCAGGCTTTTGCTGTCTACAGACAAGGAGAGGGAAGCCGACCATCACCTAGCTAGCCTGTGGCCACGATGGAACCAGAACTCAAGTCTCTAACTAGCAGGACAGCACTCTCTACGTAACTCACTGGCTCAGAATATACTAGTGTCACAAGTGAGCCAGACTCAACAGTACCTGAAGATACAGCTTCTCTGCTTCACTAACTAGTATTACTCATTAAAGAAACCAGGTGGAGATTCAAGAAAGCCAAATCCTAGTCATGACGCTGCCATGAGTTGTGAAACTGGCTAGCTGCTTCAGCCATATCTGGAAAACTAAGAAATTCACTTACATGACCTATGAATTCCTTTCCAGCCAATTTATATCCATTCAAATAAATTAGGATTCCTTGCTTCATCTAATGAAATTAAGTATAGATTTTAAGACCTCATTTCAAACAAATTTTTTTAAGAAAATATAAACAACCATCTTTTTCCTTATAATTTATATCTCTTTTAAGTGTTCTGAAACAGCAACCACACTGCCTGTTGGGATTTCTTCTCTTCGACAGCCTGATTTTATAAAACACATTAGAAAATTGTTAAATTTTGAGTCTTTGCTCCAGAATCAAACTCAAAGCTGGAGCTGAAGTGGCAACGTATGCAGTAACTGTACAAACCTTCTTTCAATCATTCCCAGAGTATCCCTCTCTCATGTAGCTAATGCATGCAGTTACTTTACATCACCGGCCTTGAGATTTTCAATCCTCTTAAGAAATATTTGATAAAACTAAAGAAATGCTATACAATATTTTAAGAATCTATATCTTAATTTACTCGCTGTTGAGATGCAGATTCTTTAATACTTTCTCACAATTATTTAACCAATTATAATATTTTATATATATAATTACAAAAATTTAAGTAAAAGAATCTCAAGAACCAGTAACAGTTACTAAGGGTAACAAGCAGAAAACCTCTCCATTTGGTTTGCAGAAGAAATTGAAAAGCACAATGAGGACTGGTTAAGAGAGTCTACGTTTTTCAATCTACAAATTTATGCACACTTTATAACTCCTCCATACATAACAAATCTTCTCTTGCTATTTGTGTGAAATATTTAAAATTCAAAGAAAAGCTCAAGATCAATTACATGTAAAACTCTGCCAGATCTTTTCCAACAAATTTTGCAGATCGAATCCTCCCAATGCTTGTATACATTTCAATGGTGGCGTGGGACAAATCCTAATAAAAAGTTTAAAAAAGCATAATTACATACCTGAACTTTTAATGATAAACAAATATTACATTTATTACTCAAAGTTTAAGCAAAAGATATTTTTATTCATATAACATTATTTTTTTAGATTGGAAAATACTGTTTATTTAGAAAGTAAATTAGAGAGAGAGGGGAGATTCACCTCTTCAAGGTAGGGGAGGGGGCCAAAGCTAGGAAACATGGGCAGCCTTAGCTCTAAGAGCCACGTGGCCACACCAGAGTTTAGCAAAGCAAAACGTGGCCTGGCCACAGCTCAAAGAACATATAGCCTGCCTAGAGCTTAACAAAACAATTTTTGTTAAACTTTGTATCTAGTTTTTAGTTTTGTAATATGTAATCAAAGTTGGTAACTTATACATAAATTATGAAGCATAACAATAATAGCAATACCTAAGCTAAGTGTGGTGGTTCACGTTTATGATTCCAGCACTTTGGGAGGCAGGAGGATAGCTTGACCCAGGAGTTCAAGACCAACCTGGGCAACATAGTGAGATCTCATCTCACTAAAAATTATTATTATTTTAAAAAAAAAAAATAAATGAAATACCCATGAATTCACCCAAAATAGAATAGCTAAATTTTCAAAGCTAAATTTTGTGACCGTTTTTCTCTCAGCTCGTGTAACGGGGGCAAGCCATTACAGGCTACTGCCAAATGCCAGAGTTACCTGTGAACCCGGAGTAGAACTGATCCAACAAGTTTCTACCAATACTGCTTTCTGAAGTCTCTCTAGCTTAAATCTTTCAAAATCAAGAACAATAGCTCTGCTAAGTCCAAATTATTCCTTTTTTACAAAGAATTCATTATCCTTCCTTACTATTTCGACTCTACTCAATGAGCAAGCCCAATTTTAACAAAATTTTAAGTATTCAAAGATGCTTTCATGACTAACTATGGCACTTTGGCACTAACAAGCATCTGATGAGCAACAATTATGTCCACAATTTTGTCCACTATTCCCAAGGGTACCAAAGAAACTAAAAAAGCCAATAAGATACAATTCCCAATTCCAGTTCCTTCCCAACTTAAAAGGTCAAGTAGCAGAGCAAAGTCTTCTAGTAATGGTTTGCTCTGTGACAGATAGGTAACATATGTAATACTTACTAAGTAGTGTTTTTCAAAAGCTTCCACTGATGACAGTGCTTCCTTGAGTTTCTTATAAGGACTCTGAGCTGCATTGGCTTAAACAAAAAGAAATGAGGCTCCTTCTTCATCTTCATTATGTACAGTCACATGAGTTTACATTCACCTCCACAAATGCAAGTAGATAATCTCACCTGACTCTTGTGGAAACTACAAGCATAGCCATGCCAACTGAAACCACATCGTTATGTCTATTCTTTCCCATTAATGTCTTCATAAAATAGTCTAAATCCTTCATGAAATATTTTTCTCTGATCTTTAAGACTAGAATTTTTAGAAACATGTATTACAAATACTCCAAAAAATTAAATTACTTACAAAATGATCCGAAATGGTCTCAAGCTGAAACAGTGCAACATGAATATTACAACTTTTTCCCTTGAAAATGAATTCAATTTACTAAGAGTGCTCTCAGTTCATTAGGTATCCTTTAGTATACTTTAACAGCAGTTTTGTTAAACAATATTCTTACCATATATTCATATTTAGAACAATTGGTAATGCTCTTTTCAAAGTGTATTTTTTCACTGCATGCGGTGGCTCATGCCTGAACTTTGGAAAGCTGAGGCAGGAGGATCACTTGATCCCAGGAATTTGAGACCACCCTGGGCAACTAGCAAGACCTTGTCTCTACAAAAAAAATCAAAAAATCAAAAATCACCCACATGTGAGGCTGTGGTGAGCCATGATCATACTACTACATTCCAGCCTGGGCAATAGAGTGAGATTCCAATTAAAACAACAACAGCAACAACAAAACCACCCTATTGCCCAGGCTGGAATGCAGTGCCATGATCACAGCTTGCCAAAGAGCCTCGATCTCCTGGGCTCAGGTAATCTTTCTTCTTCAGCCTTTCGAGTAGCTGGGACTACAGGCGTGTGCCACCACGTCCAGACAAGATGTTTTATTATACAGGATTAATTTATTGATTAAAAAGATTTGTCAGGCCATGTTGTTAGAAAAATAGATCATCTGTAATTCAGAAAGACATCGGTGCATTTAAGCTTCACATGAGCTGTAAAAAATCACGATCAGCTCATTTAAGCCTAGGAGAAACTCAGATACAATTTTAAAAATCCTCCCAATTTCTTAAACTATTTCCAACATTTCATTATGCTATAAAAGGTAAAATAACTTTTGGCACTCAGATGTCCTTCTAAGGGGACATCATGAATCTAGCAAATCACTTGATGTCCCCTCTCAGAAGACATAAACAAATTGCTGGTGATTATATAGACAAACTTATGCCAGTGCAAAATTTTCAAAAATATATGTTTCCTTGACGTTTTCCATTCAAATTACACGAAAAAGTAAATAAAGAGATGAAATATATACAGAGATACAATCAATCAGTTGAGAAACAGTTATCAGGAATCACAAGTGTGTCTTTCCACATCTTCTTCAAACAACAGTCCGGACAATAAATTACACATTATTAATGTGGGAGGAAGAAAATGAGACTGCATTGTCAGCTTGAATAGAAAAACACCAGGTGGAAGATGTCAAACCAATTACTATTGCACAACATGTATCAATGAACCTAAAATGCATGTTGGCAACTGTTACCACATGTCAGAAAAATGCAGGATATAAAATTTTAGTGTTTTTGGTCGTAATTAAGTTCCTCAGTGTTCAAAATTCCATTATAAGCCAAATATTACAATAAAATAATTGGTTCCAACACTATACTATTTAATATGAAGTTATTTGTTTTTCACTATTTTCACTATTATTAACCTAGTCAGTTAATAATAGGTATAATTTCCCAAATGGTGAGTAATTCTTAGCACTTGAGTTAAATGCCAAGTTATAAAGGACCTTTTCATGACTTTCCATTACCACTTACACAGGTAATAGTACCTACAAACATACCTGTTTCAGGTCGCTCAGCTCCCAAACCTGCCAGAAGGTCAACTGTCCTATTGAGATCTTCAGAGTTTGGTCCTTTTTCTGACACAAGTCCACACAGATAGCCCAAGGACTTTAGCTGTTTAAATAAACCCACAGTTTCAATTAATTTGCTGTAAGTCAGCGGAAAATTCATGAATTTCAATATAAAAAAAATCAAATCCAGCTACATGCTAAGAAATGTAGCTTTCCTGTCTAAATTATGACTATCTAGATATAAAAATACCTTACTGGGGTCACACTCACTCACCCTACACGACAGTACCAGTGTGGCTCCAAGGGTGGTAATCCTCTGCTTCTGTCTGTCACCTCCCACATTCTCCTAAGCCCTGGGGTCTACCACTCCACCTGCACCTCTGTGAGTCCCAGACCCAGCAGCCCACCCTGCTGCACACAGTGACACAGCTGCCAATCATGTGACCAGAAGCTGCTCTGCATTTTTGCACATTTCAGCCTCAGCTCTCCTTGTACCCTACTTCTGGTGCAGAGCCACTGTCACAGCTGGAACACAGCAAGTGTTTCCTATCTGCTGAACAGAGTAAAGTGTGGAAGGGAATCACAACTTCTATGGCTGCACCCACACATTCCACAAAGTCACTAGAACTGCCGTATCAAGATCCAAATGAGCAGCACCCCTCAAACCAGCTGACTTCCTCACCTACCAGGCATGGCCAGAGACCATGCCAGCATTCCGCTTGGGTACCTTTTCCGTGGCATAGCTCCACAGCCCCACAGTATGGGCAATGTTTGAATCGATCTGTGCCCGGTCACAGCAGCCTTCTATTCTCTGCAACACCTCCAGACAGCTCAGAAACACCCAACAGTCCAAGGCACCGGGCGGGACAGAGACCTGGGAGGGGAAGTACAGATGTGTGTAGGACACTGGGTGAGCACAAACCCCTGCTCTAGCTTGAAATCCCCAAGACATCAATCTCCAAGCAGCTATTCAATCTCACAGGGTTGTGAGGGGCAAAGCCACAAGGAAGAGAAAGAGGCAGAGAACAATAATTACCTAAGTGCATATGGGAAGAGAACACGAGTGAGAAATCCAAACATGTTAGTAGGTTTCATGTATTTGGTGATAATGAGTGACTTTTTGATTATATATTTTAAAATCCTCATAAGAAAAAGAGGCCTACACAAAAACCAAGCACCATCACTTACTCTAAGAGTAAGGACTAGACACATCTCGGTTTGAAGGTAGGGAGAAAGTGAGACTTCGGATAACTACTTGGTCACATTTAAGAAAGATCATGTTTAACAGAAGAAACTGAATACTGAGTAGATACTAGATGATAATTGGAATTATAGTTAATTTTTAGGTGTGATAACAGCAGTGTGATTATGTTTGTGATAAAGAGCTCCTATTGCTTAGACACACACTGAAATGTTTACAGATAAAATATGATGTCTATATTTGAAAAATAATCCAGGGAAGTAGACAGAGATGTAGATGAACTAGAGACTGACTACATGTTGATAACCATTGTCACTGCTGATAGATGCCTAGAATTCATTATGTTATCCTCTCTACTTCTATGTATATTTGAAACTTTCCACTTAAAAAACAAAAACAGAAAAAAGTTATCAGAAATGCAAAAGCACCTACTGTATGATCTACTCTATGATACATTTTTCCCTACATTTTAACATCTTCTAAATAGGAATGTCTCTCCAATCAATGGCCTCTTACACTTATAACTGGCAATGCTTTTTTTTTTTTTTTTTTTTTTGGTGGCACTAATTTTACAATGTATCTTAGTTTTGGTGAAATGTGCTAATTAGTACTATTCAAATCATCAGTTGACAGGTGATGAAATTAACTCACATAAGAATTCCTTCAAGATACCCTGAACACAAATGAAAGTAAAGGATCTGGAACCAATTAGAAAAAAACCAAAGGGTACCATTCAATTTTCCTATAAGAGCTTAATAGACCAATTTTTGAAAGATGAGATAATCAGCATAGAAAAAAAAAAACCCCAAAACTATTAAGACCAGAAGCTACTTTTATAGTCCCAGCAGCCTTCTATCCTCTGCAACACCTCCAGACAGCTCAGAAACACCCAGCAGTCCAAGGCACTAGATTCATTCCAGAAGTGCTAACAAGACTAAACTCTTTTAGAGTTCCTTAAACAAACCAGTTTCTCTGCCTGAAATGTCCTCTCCCACATGCCGTCACAGCCACATCAGTTGGTGAGTCTTACTCATCCTACCTATTGATACACATGGCTCCACAGAGCAGGGACCCTGTTTTGCTCTCTGCTGAAAATACAGTGCCTACCACAATGCTTAGCATTAGATAGATATTCAATGACTATCTGTTGAATGAATGAATCTTTTGAACTGAGCTCACGTGAGACCTCCTCTAGGAATTTCCCTAGCACATACTGGTGCCTTGTAAATGTCTACTGACCTGACCTGAGACTCCCCCAGAGTTGTCTTTCCCATCCTTGTGAAACCCTGTGCTGGACAATGCTTCCATCGTTGCCTGGACACTGTGTTGATAACCCTCATAGAGGCTGCCTCCATGCAAGGGTTCATGGCTTCCTGCCAGTAGGTGAGGCCTGCTTCTTCTTCACGTGTGTGCCCCTCCCCACTACCTACCATAGGCCTGGTAGGCAAGGACATGTTTCTTGAAGAGTCTTGACAGTTCTGTAACTCTATCCTCTTTTCTAGGGAGCCATCAATTCCTCCTGATTCTTCTCCAGCAACACTCCTCACACTTATCTTCTCCTCTGTCCATTTCTACCACTCTTCTACTTCAGGTACTCATGGCTCAAGGTCATGCCATCCCCTCTACTTCCTTGCTAGACGGCCCAGCACAGTGTCTGGTGCATAGTAAGCCCTCAATAATCAACACCTAAATTCCCACAGATACACCTGTGCCTTTGTCCTCTGTTGGGTCTGAAACTTGGAATACCAATCCCATCCAGCTCAGACAGCAAACCTTTTTTCTCTGGTTTAACCTCAAAGCAGATCACTCACAGTCTCTGTTCACAAACTGAGCACAAAATGGCACAGTTCTGGTCGTTTCCCCTGCTAGACTAGGTGACTTTGCTGGGATCAGGACTTTTCTTGGCCCACTCTGTCTGTAACATAACCAGAAACTAAGTTGACAAAAGATAAAACAGTACTGAAGTGAATGCATTTCAAAACAACTACAAAAATCTGGACAATTATTGTAACAAATACATAACAACCTTTTGGAAAACACCTTCCTCACATGGTTCTCCCTTACCAATTTGGTAAAGGTTAAAATATATACACATAATACTTTTTTTTCTTACCAAAGATGCAGGAAAACAGGCATTTTAATGTGACTGAAAACAGGAAGAACTTTCTGGAGGACAAGTTGACAATGCATATTAAAAGCTTTATGGGCTGGGCGCAGTGGCTCAGCCTGTAATCCCAGCCCTTTGGGAGGCCGAGGCGAGAGAATTGCCTGAGCCCAGGGGCTCGAGACCAGCCTGGACAACTTGGTGAGACCTCGTCTCTACAATAAATCACAAAAAATAGCTGGGTGTGGTGGCATGCGTCTGTAGTTCCAGCTACTTGGAAGGCTGAGACAGAAGGATCACATGAGCCCAGCAGGTCAAGGCTGCAGTGGCTGTGAGCGTGCCACTGCACTCCAGTCTGGGCGACAAGAGTGAGATTCCAACTAAAAAAAAATTTTTAAAGCTTTATAAATATGTATGTCCTTGACTCACCAATTCTACTTATATGAAATTTATACACAAAGATGTATGTATGTACAAGGATGCCCACTGCTGCAACTGCAAATAATTCTAAGGAGTTCAAATATTCAAACAGGACTGAATAAATCGTTGCATTTCATTCATACATCAAAGACCACAGACAAAAAAGGCAACCTCTTGCTGTTAGCAAAAGCAATGATATTTTCTTCCACATAATTTGTCTGTACTTTCCAAATTGACATAAAGAACATATCCCACATTTGTAAATGGACAGAACATAAGAAATTGTTGTAGAAAAAAAAGAAATATTCTGATGGAGTACTTTGAACTCACACAGAACTGGCGTTTATCCCAAAAGCTGGCTGTATGGGGCAGACACGACTTCCCCATCTACACATTTTCCACTGGGGCACTAGCCCACGGCTAATGGAGGCCCACGACAAGGATGGTATGTGTTCCCATTTCCCAGGAGTGTGGGTCATAGCTCTGCTACAGAGGTAGGCCTTGCTTCCATCACATCTGGCCACACACTGCATTCTCTTCTCTAACAGGATGCTTTAAACCAACTGATGAACCACCCAGGGAATTACCAGGACATGTTTTACAAGTCACAAAAGCAAACATACAGTACATCTTTTGCTGAAGCAATTTCACAACTAAAACTACACAAAGAGGTTGCGAAATGTGGCCTTTGTGCTCAACAGGGTTTTTTGTTTGTATGTATTAACAAACATAAGTTTTATCTTCAAAAGAACCCTGCACCTGCCCAGTCTGTAGGCTGACCAGGTCCCCAGGCTATGTTCTCACTACTACTTGCCAATGGCTATCCATTGCCACTTTGGCCCTGCCTGTCAAAAAACAATTCACCAGAGAGCTAACTCAGACACAGAGAAACAGGTCTACTTTTGAGAGTAGACTCAAATGGACAGAAAAATCAAATAATTTTGAATTTCCTGAATTTTGAATCTTTCCACCAAAAATTTAAAGAAATTCTAAGAATGTGTTCTTCCAAATTAACTGCCAACTAAAAAACGTATTAGATATAGCTCTCCCCCTCCAAAAAATTCCCAACCTATAGAAAGAAGCTTATTTCAGATGAAGAGGCTGAGAGAATAATTTTGTGCCTACAGTATCACATGGCCTCTGTGGTCTTCCAAGCACACTAACCGGTAAGTCCACATGGAACTCTCTATCCTTTGAAAAAAATGCTCCAGCAAGATGTAAGTAAGGACATTCACAGAAGATCTGACCTGCATGGGGGGTGTGGCAGGTGCTGTACACAGCTGCCTGTTAAACACTCTGCCTCACTAGGGCTGCACACTCAAGTGACAGCCACCGTTTCATCTCTATCTTGTGGTAAGCAAATGAAGTTTAAGGGGAAGGTAAATTATGGAAGACTAAGGTGATGGTGAAGAGAAGAAAAGAGAAAAGAATTTCAAAGAAGAAAAGAGAGCCAGGACAAACTCCACATGGACAAGAAGCACCCTGAACAACACAGGGCATGAAAATGCCTCCGTGACTCCCATGCCTAGAGGAGAGCCTAGAAAAAGCAAATCTGACACCCCAGGAGCTCAGGGCCCACATCACCTACCTACTCTGTGCACAGCTCTCCTCTAGCCACATGGGGAGTCGGAAACCTGCATCTCTTTCCTTCTACAGTGGCCACGGGCATTCCAGTAACCAGGAAACTGAGAAGGTGTGAGAAGTCGCTCTGCAGGGGAGAGCTGACGGGCAGAGGTGTAGCAGGACACACCCTGCTGTTTTGCTCAGCCCCTGGCCCTAAGAGAGGGCCACCATGGTGCGGCAAGCACACAAGTAAGCAGCGCTGTCAGAGAAAAAGGGGCCGCTGTTCCCATTGACTGGATGTCCTTGGGGAGCCTCATGTTCCACACCTGTTGCCTTTCTCTCTGCCAGGGAGCTACATGTAACACATCAGTGGGCTCCTTGCCTCCAGTTTCCAGAAGGCCTGGGGGAGGATAGAAGATGGAGGGGGTGGTGGCTGCAGGTGCCTGTTTCCTTCCCTGCAGAGCTCCCCAGGCTAGCAGCCCCCTCCCCAGTTGGGCACAGCCCCTCTAAGGCAGCCAGCTTTGTGCTGCCTCTGCCTGGTTCTGGGAACTCTTGCCCTCCTCTCCCTAGGCTGGCAGCTATGCTATCTCTAGTAAACCTTCAAAGGCTAGAAAACTAATTTGAGAAAGATTCTTAAATCCTGGAGTCTATGATTCTGCTGAGCCTAGCACTACAGGGACTGTGTCTGTACCATCCTCTAAGATCTTCCTACATCAGCCCCCAAACTGTCCACAACACTTTCTAATCAACCCTCCTGGGTCAGCTTTATTGAAAATGCCAGTTCTGAACCACCTGGACTCGAAGACACCAGAGAGCTCTGTTCTACAAGTGCACGGTTACCTCATGGCCCCACCCCACAAGTTAGTACAGCTAGGTCAGAGCAACAAAAGCAGAGTCTTTAAATCTATGCACTTGTAGATAAATAAAAGAGTGCCATTTTGAGGTAGAAAATGTTATTTCTCCTCATTTGCTAGATTAGATATCTAAGGCAAGAAAAATAATCTGATAAAAAAATCCTTAAATTCTCGAGTTTGTGACTCAGGCTAGGCACTAATGAGATTAGTTCTGAAATAAAAATTTCTTATTTAGGAATTAACTAAAATGATTTCTCTACACATAGGTAAAAAAATGTTTAAAGCTCTTTTAAGATTATTTTAAACTGTTGAGCCTGTTATTTAATATTCTAGGGTACACAAAAATCAGTTCCCATATGATGAGATACTATCTCTACCAATGACTTAGCTAATATAGTAAATCTATACTCTAAGACTTTCTTTCAAAGGGCCTCACAATGCCTGTGCTCCTTAAGTATCCTGCTAGAGCATACAGCAGGAAGGATGCTCTCCTAGGATCTGGATGACCTGGATTCTGACAAATTCTCTGAATTTGTAAGTCACCTAGCCATTTCCAGACTCGGGTTCCTTGTGTGTAAATGGAATCAGACCATTCAGTCAGGAGCTCTTAGCTGGGGATGAGGGCAGCAGTGCACATGAATCCTCCAACACTGTAGGGAGCATTGTGTATGTGTATATGTGAGCTGTTCTGGGTAAAGAGGGCACTGAAACAAGAATCACCTGACCAGAAGTGTCTTATGGTCACTTTACCTCACTAGAACATCTGTTATTCCACGGACAGTAAGAATATGGTAGACCTCAGGCGAATTAATTTTTTTTTTTTTTTGAGTTGGAGTCTCACTCTGTCATCCAGACTGGAGTGCAGTGGCCTCTCCCAGCCACCACAGCCTCGACCTGCTGGGCTCTGGCGATCCTTTCGCCTCAGCCTTCCAAGTAGCCGGAATTACAGGCGCACGCTACCACACCTGGCTAATTTTTGATTTATTGTAGAG